GGCTGGCTTTGAACTGCGATCCTCAGATCTCAGCCTCCTGAGTAGCTAGGATTACAGGCGTGAGCCACCAGCGCCCGGCTTGTTGTTGCTTTTTTAAATAGGATCTCATCTTGAATTTGGGTCCTGAGCCTCTCAAGTGCTGGGATTACAGGTGTTTGCTGCCATGATGGCCTTGTAGTAAGTCCTGAAGATAAGTAGTGGAAGTTCTTTGGTTTTGTTCTTTTCTTTCAATATTGGGTTGATTATTCTGGGTCTTTTGCCTCTCCATATAAACCTTTTCTACCTGAGTTGGTTTCAAACTACAATCTTCTAGATTTTAGCTTTGAGCGGCTAGGGTTATAGGGATGAACCACCAGCACCTGACTTTTCATATTAGCTTTACAATCAATTTGTCCACAAAATAACTTGCTAGTATTCTCCCTCTCTGCCTCCTCCCTCATTAGTCTTTCTTTTATTAGGGGTCATACTTCTAGCCTGCTTGCTGTCCAGTGTATGAAAACAACTATTTCATAGGTTGTGATCAGTTTTAGTTTTTGAGATGGAAGGGGTAATTCACAACCAGTTAGTCTACATGACCAGAAGCAGATATCCTCTAGTTAAAATCATTTTTAACTATGTGATCATGAGCAAGTCACTCAGCCTCTCTAAGCCTCAATTTTATTTTTTAGCAGTAGAATGCTTGCTTACCCCTGGGTTTGATCCCCAGTACCAGGCCAAAACAAGACTGTATTTAGCTAGGTTTGATAGCACATACCTATAATCCCAGTACTCAGGAGGCTGAGGATTATGAGTTTGAGGTTAGCTTGAACTGCATAATAATGACTTGAAGGTGAGACTAGGCTACCTAGTGAGATTCTGTCTCAAAAACTAAAATAAATAAATAGATAGGTAGATAGATAGACAGACAGATAGATGGATAGATAAACAACAATAATACCCAAATTAGGTTTGCTAGGCAAGGCATTGTGGAAGATAAACGAGGCCTATAACACTGGCCCTGGAGACAATCTAAGGGCGAGGGTGACAACCAGCAAGATCTCTGGCTCTTGAGTCTGTATCTGCTGTTAGTGTCAATACTGCTTCTCCCAGGTACCTACCTGGTCTCAACTCCGCTGGTGACCAGTCTCCACCATTCTCTCACAACACTGATGCTCCACGCCATCTACCTCTGACAGGCTTCCCTTTGGTCTGTACTAATCAGTCTCTGTAACAACAGGACTTGTCCTCAATGACTTCCCTTTGCCTTTATAATGACACCTCTGACCTGCAAAGTTCTGAGCAAGCTTGCCACACCAACCTCTCCAACCTCATCTTGGGCACACCCTCTCTGTTGGCCACATGCCCACCCTTGGTTTTCCTACCCATGATTCCTCTGACTGAAATATTACACACTGTTTTCCTGGCTAAACCTATCTATCTTCAAAGTCTGAGCTTAAATTTCACAGGAAATCTTTATGAACATAGTTAGATTCCACTAGCAGAGCCTGTCATTGTGCCATATAAGGCTTATCACAATGGTCATTAAATCTTTATTTGTGGAGCCAGGCATGGGTGCTCATGCTTACAATCTCAGCTAATCAGAAAGCTGAGGCAGAAGGATCACCAGTTTGAGATCAAATCAGAGAAAGGTAGCTGTGAGACTCAAGAAATACAAAAGGATCTACAATAGATGAGAGGATCAAAAAATATGGTACACATACATAGTGGAATTTTACTCATCCATTAGTAAGAATAATATTATGTCACTTCAGGGAAATCGATGGACCTAGAATAAATAGTTAAGTGAGGTAAGCCAAGCTCAGAGACAAATGGTTCAAGTTTTCTCTCATATGTGGAAGCTAGACCTAAAACACAACTGAACATGACAACTTACACAGAGGTCTATGCATTTTCACACACACACACACACACTCACACACACACAGACTAAAGGAGGATACTTAGGGGAGAAACACAAAGGCATAACTCCTCTGAATATCTAAAGTACTACTTATCAAAATGAATTCCAGTAAATGGAAACATGTTTTTGTTGTTGTTATTGTTGGTGTTGCTTGTTTTGTTGTTGTCTTTTTAGGGGGGCAAACAGGGAGGCATAGAAATAGACAGAGGAAGGCTAGGAATGTGGCTCAGCAATCGAGTGCTTGCCTAGCATGAATGAAGCCCTGGGTTTGATTCCCCAGCACCACATAAACAGAAAAAGCTGAAAGTGGCACTGTGGCTCAAGTGGTAGAGTGCTAGCCTTGAGCAAAAGAAGCTCAGAGACAGTGCCCAGGCCCTAAGTTCAAGCCTAAAAAGAAAAAAAAATGGATGAAGGAAGGGTGAACAAATGTAGTCATGGTATTCAATGTATACTATGTAAAAAGTGAACTATGTAACTTGTAGGCAGGAATGGGAGGGGAAAGTGAAAAGGTGACAGTATCATAAAAGAAATGTACTAATTCCTTAAGTTATGGAATTGTAACTCTTCTGAACAACTCCTTAATAATAAAATTATATTTAAAAAAAGAAATGAAAAAGGGCTAGGAGCATAGTGGTAGAGTGTTTGCCTGGCCTATGGAAGGCCCAAAGTTCAATCTGTACTGCAAACAAGCAAGCAAAACAAAAACAAAAAAACCCCAACTCATTCATGTAATTATTTATTTGGTTGCCCCTCTTTTAAAACTCCATGAGGGAAGGTCCTGTTTCTGACCTGTTCATGGCTGTTTGCTTATTCATTCATTCATTCGTTCATTTTGCTGGTACTCATTCATTTAATCATTCATTTTGCTGGTAGTGGGATTTAAACTCAGGGCCTTACATTGGCTCGGCTTTCTTGCTCACAGCCAGCACTCTACAAATTGAGCCAAACTTCGTCTGGCATTTTGCTAGTTAACTGGATGGAGTTTCATGGACTTCTCTGCCTGGGCTGTCTTCAAACTTTAATCCTCAGGTCCCATCCTCCTCAGTAGCTACGATTACAGGCACAAGCCACTAATGCCCAGTTATGGCTGTGTATTTTGTTTTTTTTTTTTCTTCTGTCAGTCCTGGGATTTCAAACTTTAATCCTCAGGTCCCATCCTCCTCAGTAGCTACGATTACAGGCACAAGCCACTAATGCCCAGTTATGGCTGTGTATTTTGTTTTTTTTTTCTTCTGTCAGTCCTGGGATTTAAATTCGGCCTGGGTGCTGTCTTGAGCTTCGTTTTGCTCAAAGCTAGCACTCTACCATTTGAGCCACCACACCATTTCCAGCTTTTTCTGAGTAGTTTATTGGAGTTAAGAGTCTCATGGACTTTTCTGCCCAGGATGGCTTCAATCTGCAATCACCAGATCTCAGCCTTCTGAGTAGGATTACAGGTGGGCGCCACAGGCGCTTGGCTGGGTATGTTTTTTTTTTTTGGCCGGTCATGGGGCCTGAACTCTGGGCCTGGGCACTGTCCCTCAGCTCTTCAGCCCAAGGCTAGAGCTCTACCACTTGAGCCACAGTGCCACTTCTGGTTTTTTCTGCTTATGTGGTACTGAGGAGTTGAACCTAGGGCCTCATGCATGCAAGGCAAGCACTCTACCACTGAGCCACCTTCCCAGCCCCATGGGTATGTATTTTTGAAAGCTTGGCAGAATGCCCAGTACAGAGGCAGAATATAATTTTTTAAACATATATATATATATATATATATATATATATATATATATATATATTATTAAGCCTAAGACTAGGGCTCAAACTCAGTAGCTGATGCTTTTGTTCATTGGCTAGTACTCATCAATTGAGCCACGCCTCCAACTCCTTGAATATATTCTTAAAATCTTGATATATCAGGGAGGCCCAAGGGCTTCATTTTGGAATTGACAAAACTGAAGCCTGGAGAAGACAAATGACTTTCTGAAGGTGATCACATGGCCATCTTTGGAATTCATTCATTTGATAAATATTTTCTAAGAGCCTACTAGTTCCAGTCACTGTCCTAGGTGCTGGAGCTAGAATGATGGGCAAGACAGTCCCTGGGTTGCCGAAACTGGCATCGCAGTGGATGGCAAGTATGCGGATAAATAGATAACACATCTAAGATAGTGATTACTACTATAAAGAAAGCAGCACCCAGTAGAAAGAAGTCACACAACCCAGGAGGGCTCACACCCCTACCTTCTGCTTCCAAGGGCAAGGCTCTTTCCACTACACCATGCTGTCTGCCCGAAGTAAACAAACAAAACCATAATTTATGAGGCTCCCTCAGCTGCCTGTGTGTGCACTTGGTGGGGTGAAACCCTCATGCTGTCCATGAAACAGAGCCAACATCATCAGAAGCAGCAGCTGACTGGCCTGCCTGCTAAAGCAGGTGTCATGGCACTAGCCAGCCTGGCTTCTGCTGCCTTGAAACTTCACATCTGGTGCCCAGAGAGGGGGCGTGTTTAAATAAGACAGCTATTGAGTGAGTCGACTTAGGGGGGAGGGGCACGTGGAGTTGGCTGGCCTCAGAGAATGATGCAAACCACAAGGGAGAGTACTTAGGGGGTGGACAGAGAAAACAGATGGGCTCAAACTGCCGGCATGATGATTGCCTGAGCACCCCATACATCACTGGGGGAGGCCTCTTCACTGTGGGAGATCTATTTATTCTTTCATTAATAAAGATACCCTGCGATGTCTGGCCTTGGGGAAACAGGACATATACTCAAAAACTAGCTTTCCTCCACACTGTGGCAAGCAGAAATGTGGGTGAAACAAGTATATTCTATATGCATGCAGCCGGACATGCATATAGAACATGCACCTAAGGTGCAGTGCTGGTGGCTCATGAGTTTGGCAAGTGAACAGAATCAGAGGCTGCACTGGAACACTGGCCCATTGGCATGCCCTCCTCACTCTGTTAGGGCATCAGGGTAGTCCAGTGAGTTGTCTCTAAGGTGGGCACTCTAATACGGGTTAACTGAATCCAGGTGCCAATGACTCACATCTGTAACCCTAGCTGTTCAGGAGGCTGAGATCTAGTGGTCTGAAGCCAAGGAAAACAGGAGAGACCACCAGATTTTTATCTCCCATTAACTACCAAAAGCCAAAAGTAGAGCTGTGGTTTAGGTGGCAAAGTGCTAGTCTTGAGCAAAAAAGCTAAGGGATAGTGCTTAGACCCTAAGTTCAAGCCCCAATACTGACACAAAAAAAAAAAGAAAAAAGAAAAAGTTAACAGAAAACATTTAGCAAAGTACAGAAACTCATTTTTCTCCCATAAGTAAGATTAAAGCTCCCAAAGCATTGTTCTGATAATAATAATAATGAACATTTATTACCAACCACTATGAACTGGGCACTTTCTATTTATCTCTAATCCTCAAAGCAACCTTGCAGTAGTTATTTGCTTCACCTTACAGGCAAGATGAGAGACTCAATGAGGTGACTTTTGGAAAGTTACACTAATAGTAAGTGGGAACACGGAACTTCAGACTCTAAAGGTCAAGTACTTTCTGCAACACCAAAAAGTGATCATCTCCAGCTGCTCCACAGCTTCTAAAGTACACAGGCTGGGAAGCCTAGGGGACTCCAAGATTCATGCAGTAACTTCACAATAGCTATCCCCATATTTGAAGGGTGAAGTTTGGGATTCATAGCAAACAGACTTACTGCTAGAGAAGAATTAGATCATGCTATAATACCAAGTTCAATGGCTGTTCAGTCAACGCCTAATATGAACACCAACTATTATACTTAAGATTGCTTATTGTATTTCACACCACTGGAAACAGCTCAGATAAAAAAATGGATGACAAGGGCAAGTGATGTAGCCCTGTGGTATAGCTCTATCATGTGTGGGGCTGTGAGAAACCAACCCCTCCCCCCTCCCACCCCGAGGACACTCAGCCTGTCTCCCAAGTACCAACTTTGCTATCCACATACTAGGTGGGCAGCCTTAGTGTCACTAAATTCGTGTAACTGGGCTGATTATATCTCACAAAACATAATGATTCAATGATATAAAGTGTTTGGCAGGCCTTTGCAATAGAATGGATATATGATAAACATGACCTGGGTTGAGTTTAGGTGACCAGTCTGAGACTATGGGTCACTTTGGCCCAAGAATTCCAGGCAGATGGAGTCAGTTCCAGGTCCAAATCAGAGTGTGTGCATGTGCGTCAGAGAAGGGCCTACATGAATTCTGAGTGGAACGGTGGAACCAATCCCATCTCCATGCTTTAACTAGGACCATGGCTCAGGCAGGAGCCAGAGGATTTCCAAGCATGAAATGACCCAGTAAGGGAGGATCACTCCACACTGAAATTGCTCCTAAAACACTCCTGTCCTGAGTTTCCAAGTGGATCAAGGAGTCATCTGCCTCAAATGGAACAAAATCCAACTTCAAATTCTTTTCCTCTGCTTGTTCTGTCTCAAGATGCAGATACAATCTGGCTCTAACTTTAGTAGTTCTCTTTTCAGGTAATAAAGGGTGGTTTTTCTAATTGCCAAACTTAATGTATTAAAAAAATCTTCCTGTGGCTGATAGTACAAAGTCTAAACTATTTAACAAAAGGCCTCTGTGACCTGGTCCCTGCCTAATCATCTGGCCTCTAAACCCACCAACCAGACTCTCACAAGACCTAGGATTCCTCATGGCCCTGTTTCTTCTGCCTAAAATAGCCGTCTCACTCCCACATTTAAGCCCTCCTTCCTTGCTAAATCTTTCCTTACTCCCCAAGGCAGGCATAGGCCACCCTCCCATGGGTCCTGTGGTTGCACCCTCCTCTATACAATGGAAGGAGATGGTATAGTAGAAAGCTCCAAGTTCTTTGAGGCCCCAATTCAAACCCCAGCACAGAAAGCTTCAAGTTCAAGCTTCGAGCCAGAAAGCTTAGAGTCCATGCTCTGGTCCTCCCTCCAGGATCGCTAGAACACAACCTGAGGAGATATAGTCTTAATCTCCATGTGTAGGGATTGACTCAGGGACTGTTGGCAAAGGGCTGTGTGCTGAGCCACTGTGCAAGAACATCCTACTGCAAGCTGCAGTTTTAAAGGTGCCACATGCTTTGGTTAAATCCTCTCCTGTGGCCACCTTAGTTGTGGGGCAATCAGTGAGCATCCAAAGAATTGAGGCACAATTATGAACACACCACACATTCTGCTATCCTATGAGTGAGTCACAAGATGCTAAGTTTGAAGATCTAGGATTGAGCCTTGTTAACTCACTGTGAGATGCTGGCCCTACCCAGCTCAACTCCTGGGCTTGTTTTCTGTAAATATGGACAAGACCTTGCTGGTAATTGTAAGGATGAGGCATGATAAAGAAAAACCTTGTTTACATAAATGCAAATCCTACCTAAGAGGAACAAGAGAAACGCTCATATGAGGTGCTTTGGTTTGTAGAATAAAGGTTCTGACTTGTGTGCATCCCAACCCAGGAGAGACTAAACAGCATTCTACTATCACCATGCTGTGTGTCAGCTTCACACACCTTTAAGCAACTCTTACTGGAAGATATGGTTTTGATATTCACAAGAGACATGACACTAACCTAACCAGGTACAAATCAGGGCAAGTGCCCTGGAGCCACTTTTCTACCAGAGACAAACTTCTTTTTGAATTTCAAACATTCTTGGATTTCTTATAAAGGTTAAGTCAAAGGCAATGCCAAGAGTTGGGTAATTTTTTTTTTCCTCAGGAAGTGCTCTTTCCTGATGATCTAAAATTAATCAGAAAGCTTTACTTTCTTCTAGCTTCTCTCTCTCTTTTTTACTCTTTATTGAAAAGGTGATGAGCAGGGGAATTACAGTTACAAAAGTAAGGTAAATGAGTTCATTTCTTTTTAAAGACTGTGACCCCATGCATCATAACATTTATTAGTCTACTTATCTAACTTTGTAATTTAGTAAGTATGGTATACAGAACATAATGCATCTTTGTTTATAGACTCAGGACCACTTGGCAGGGATGCTATAGAGAGAATTCAGCCATCAGACAGATGAGTAGCTGACTGAGACAAACATTAGGATGGTTTGAATCTGATCAGCTGAGATCTGAAAAGCTAGTTGTACTTTTACTTATAAAAATAAACATCAGGGCTGGGAAGGTGGCTCAGTGGTAGAGTGCTTGCCTTGCATGCATGAGCCCCTGGGTTCGATTCCTCAGCACCACATAAGCAAAAAAAGCCAAAAGTGGTGCTGTGGCTCAAGTGGTAGAGCCCTAGCCTTGAGCTGAAGAGCTGAGGGATAGCGCCCAGTCCCAGAGTTCAGGCCCCACAACCGGCAATCAATCAATCAATCAATCAATAAACATCAACATTGGACAGTAAGTATGGAAGTACAAAATAACATAGCCAAGAGCATATGTAGCCAATATAGCATAGTGGTTAAGACTGATGGAAATGGGGTGGAACTGCCAAGGTTTATATCCTGGCTCTGCCATCTTGAATAAAACTGCCTGTTTCTTCATTTACAAAATGGAAACACAAGGACTTACCTCATAGGGTTGCTAGGAGGAAAAGAATTATCTTACTTACTTCTTGAAACAGTGTCAAGCACACAATAGTCGCTAAAAAAAAAAAGTGAACTGTTCTGCTTTGTATTAGTTAATATATGCCAACAACAGGGACAGGGCTGGGAATGTAGCTCAGTGGTAAAGCACTTGTCTAGCATACAAGAAATCCCGAGTATGATTCCCTAGAACTAAACAAAACAAAAATCAGGGACTACCCATGCATTATTTCACTAAGGCTTTACAACAACCCTTTAAGGCAGGTGAAAATGTGGGAAAGACTAAGTAGAGGCCACAGATGAGTACTAGGACTAATGTCAATGGCTCAGACAGGGTTGGGACCTGTGACCTTTTTCTCCCAAACCTGTGTTGTTTCCATCAGAGCAGCCCAGGTTCACTGTTGACAATGTATGGCAAACAAGTTGAACGTATAGAGAATCAGTATAGATCCTGCAAACTTCTGAAATAATCCAGGCACCTGTTCGCTTTCTCATCTATATTTTCATCCTTGGAGTAGGACAGGAATAACTCCATTTAAAGATTCACCTTATTATGGTTTACCTCTATGAATCATGGTATATAAATGGTGAAGGAAGTTCAAACAGCTAACACAGGCATCCTAACTTAGGGCACCATCCTCAGCCATCTTAACTCTTATGCTGTTCTCAACACAGGATTCTAAAGGTTTTGCCCATTAGAGCAATTCCACTTCTCTAGTGAATTCAGAAGACAATATTATTAAGTCCCTTGTCCACAACTCAGCGAAGCATTGTCTAAAGTGCTCCAGGCTATACAGTATGTCCTTCCTGTCCTCCAAAATGGCAACTTCCAGGCTCTTGCAAATAATCTCCACAGTATCTAGTCCAGCACTAACATATCTAGCATTCATCAGCTGCTTGATGCTTTGCATCTGAATGATCCAAAGCAGATACTTAATGTGTTTTTTCTATTTTTATAGAACAGTCCAGGAAGACAGAACCTATGGAAGAAGACCTTGAGAAAGACAGTTTATGTAGCAAAAAAAAAAGCCAAAGAAGGCCTTAGCCATAGAGAAGTTTGAGCATTAAAAAAAGAAGGTTGCGAGAGCCAAGGGAGGTCTTAAGAAACAGGAGTCTGGCAAGAGCAAAAAAAGAAAAATAATAGAGGAGGGAGAGTGTGGGGAGTCACACGATATTCTGGGTTTGAAATGGAAGGGGAATTCTAGAGTTAAGGTAGGTTCTGATCCAATGGAAAATTATTGGATCGGAGGCCTAACCAAGTCTCTCTGGCTAAGGAGCCTGGGTGGCAATCTGTGGGTGGCCCAAACTTAAGAACACACACACAAAAACTGGACACAGATACAAGTGGAGAGAAGTGTCATGAAGTAGGGAGTGGCAAGAGGCAATCCTAAATGCAGTTATTTGGGTACAATGTGCCCTTCAGAGAGGGCATGGTGACAGCATGGGCTAATTTACAGAGCCGCCAGGGCAATAACTCAGAAAGCAATACTGCCGTCTCCCAACAAAACGAGGCAGCCCCTGGGTTTCATGGTGGTAAAAGCTGCATTACAGCATACTCAGATCCCGGAACCAATGAAAGGAGACAAGTTTACCAAAACGAGTCTTGACACAGAGTACATTTCTGGCAAATACATTATTAGGCACTCATTCTACTCATGTCCTGAAGAAACTATTTAGTTTCCTTATAAGGCCTTTCTTTTCGCTCTCCTCTATAATAACTGATGTCTTCTTAAAGAAACAAAGATAGAAAAGAGAATTGTTCCATCCATCCTCCCCCCAACTTCGCACCCCAACTGTGTTTCAGGGAGGTGAGTGGAAGCTCACATTATTGAGAGCAACAGAGCATTACTAGCTGTTGAAACTACTTTTTAAAAATGAATTCTGTTTAAGAAATCTGAGTTAATAAGGGAGAAGGGGAGGAAAAGAGAACAATGCAAGTGTCTATGCTGGCTGCCAGAATTAAGGACCATTTGTTTTAACCATGATAGTTTTCTTTAATCCTACTTACAATTTTCATGACTAGACTTAAGATACAACGTGCACATATGGGTAGAGATACCATTGTGTCCTACAAGAGCATAAGTGAAAGCCAGCAATTACTATTAGTGAGGAATCAACCTGGGTCTTCACTCCTCTATTTCTATTCATTTGGTTCTGTTAACTACAAACTCCTTAGCAGGACTCCATCTTTTCTTTTCAGTACAGTTCCCTGTTTCCAAACTCTAGTCTTTGGAGTTGTCTCCATCCCAGTCCCTTTCTTTGCATTCCTGACAAGCTCTCCTGCCTGAGAAATCTTTCCCATTCCTGTGTGTGTATACGTGCGCACAGATGTGCACGGATGCACACATGTGTGGGTGCCTGCCTGAGGGCCTACACATTGTCCCGGAGCTTTTTTTTTCTCAAGGCTAGCACTCTACCAGTTGTGCCACCATTCCACTTCTGCCTTTTTGGTGGTTAATTGGGTCTCATGGACTTTCCTGCCCAGGCTGGCTTTGAACTGCAATCCTCAGATCACAGCCTACCAGAACCTGGCTCCTATTCCTTTTTACTTAGAAAAAATCCTCATCCTTCAAAGAATTGTTTGGTTCCCTCTCCTTCAGAAAACTGTGATGACCCTCACCCTCTAAGAACTCACAGAAGACCCCATGCCACCTACAGCTAGACCTCCTGATTTTTGGGTGATCTCAGAGGCCAAGCAGGGTCGAGCCTGGTTAGAACTTGGGAGAAGACCTTTGTGCTTCTGTCACTGCACTCACATAAGACACTAGTTCCATTGCACTGGCATGTCTCTTTCAGGGGTCCTGATGACCAGAGACAAATTCTATGGTTTCTATTCTATCTTCCAGTGCCTAAACGAGGCCTGGACACAGAGTGGATAACACAACAAATGTTTTAATGAATAGTAAATATTGCATTGCCATCTATAAATACCACTCTTCCTGTTAAAAAAAAAGTTAATTCTTTAAAAGCCTTTCATAAACTAGCAATAACTCTCTCTTCCCCTTATGGCTGGATACACAGTAGAATGCCTTTGAGAGTACAGCCTTTGGGTCAAATCCTTGACAATATTTCAAGCTGGTAGCCAGTTGTATCATTTATGATATCAGAAAGGAAGCTGCTGTCTGTGAGAGCAACCTTGGAACAAATTTATACATAAACACTGGCTCACAATTGGCTCACAGTAACTCATTTTAGCTCTGTTATTAAGAACCTAAGGCTCATATTTGCCCAAAGTCAGAGAGCAAGTGAAGCCAAACTAATACAAGGACAAGACCTGGACCAGCTTTTTCTCTAAATGAACTGAGAAATGAGGTTGGCTGAAACTAAGATTTCCCAGAGGGCTGAAAAACTGATGGAGGCAGCAAACAGACTATGGGTATGCACTTTTAGCAACATAAACTGAAAACCCCTCATTCCTATTCAAAGTTTAGATAATTGCACGCACTGTTGCTGGTCTGTCAAGGAACAGAGTCATCAGGCATTCAGTTTGAAACTGTTTTAAAACTTCTCAAATTTATTTAATTCATGTGGGTAATGTGGGAGAGTACTGTATAAAATCAAGAAATAAAGCCACTATTCAATAATTACTGTCACAGACTGCTCAGAGTTTATGCCGTGTGCTAGGCATAGAGATCACAGGACGTGTGTTATCCTTTGAAAGATGGAACTCCAACTGTGACCAGATTTTTCTAATTCAGTCAGTTTTCTTACAGAGCCCAGCAAAATAACTTTTCAAAAAACTGGACTGTTGTCTTTCGATTTTCCACTCTCATTTAGAAAAATGACTAGAGAGGATGACATAAATAACCATTGAAAACAAAGGGATTCTTCTCCAGAAATTTCCTCATCAAGCTTTAAGGCCATGCTTTCCATCCTTTTCATTGTTAAAAAAAGAATTGGTTTTGGAGTATGTCAACCTTTATAAAGCCTGTTATACAGAGCCTCTGCCTTCCCAAGTCCTGTTCTGATGCCAGGGCTCCTCCCCCAAGCTGCTGGTCTTAACCATTAAGTCCATGGTTGCTAAAGAAATTCAAGTTAATCTCAAGGCCAGTTACAATCCTAATCTTCAGCAGGCTACAGCTGACTACTTGCTAACAGCACAGGCCAGGCTGAGGCAGGAAGAGAAATTACAAGGCCCTTGTCTGCCATGGGAGAGTCCCAGCAGCAGGCTAGTCTGCATCTCCAACCTTGGAGCTCACTGTGCCACATCACTGCCACATAACTCCATCTACTGGTCTCACCCACTGCCTGCCCAGTCAGAATGCTTGATACTTACCATCTGAACAGATAATTTCTACAAATAGAAAAGCAAATGTTTTATTTATTGTTTAGATCCACTAATCAGTCAGCCCTTCTTGGAAATGGGCAAGTTAAAATTGCACGAAGTATTATCTGTGTGTAAATGGATACCTAAAGTTCATTGACTTCCTGGAAAACTGCTGTTTCTGAAGGTCCCATTTCCTTGTAGATGTTGTACACTATCCAGAGTGTCTTTTTAGTCTTCATCTCATTATGGGTTTTACTCTCTAGGTACTGAGAATGGAAAAAAGGGGAGCAGGAAATCATATAGAGCATAGGATTAGCACACCTGTGTCAGCAACAGGACAACTCCTCTCATATCCATGCTGACTCTAAGTAATTTGTTGGAGTTGGATTCGCCATTAAATTTGTATTTGTGCTCTGCCTGAGGCCTTCCTCTAACCACTAATTAAGCTTTTGTCAAAGGGGAAGAACACAAGTAATGCCCTGGTCCTCAGCCAGGTGTCAGTGTGTTCTATGGTACGGAGAAAAACAGTTACAACAAGATTTTTGTTTCAGCTTTTAGTCCAACAAAGACTGAATAGATTTACAGAAAACAGTTTATGGGGTTAGGGGACAAAGTATGAGAGTGGGGAGAAGGAATGGTGGTGGTGAACACATCCAGTAGAATTCATGGACAAAAACATTCACACACATACAGAAGAGAGGAAAGAAATGGGAGGGGTCCAGTGGATAACTATACAATCAATCCCAATTTAATTTTGGAGTGAATTTTCTCACACTGGTCAAAGACTGTGCTTTAAAAATGTGCTGGGCAACAATGGCTCACGTCTATTATTCTAGCTACTCAGGAAACTGAAATCTGAGGAACAAGGTTCAAAGTCAGCCGGGGCAGGAAAGTCTGTGGGACTCTTATCGCCAATAAACTACTACTAAAAAAAAAAAAAAAAAAAAGTCGGAAGTAGAGCTGTGACTCAAGTGGTAGAGAAGCTCAGTGACAGCACCTAGTCACACACAAGAAAGTTCAAGCACACAAAAAATAGTCTTTAGAAGGTAACAAAACGTTTTAAATATTATTTTGCCTCCTGCTTCTGGTGACTTTTTTTGGTTAAAAACCAGAAATGAATAAGCCTCACAAGACGGAAGAACAGTCTTTTGATCCAGATGAGGCGAGGCACTAAGTGAACTTACACAGTAAGTGAGATTTTATACTTCTTGGTCTTGTCCTCTGACCACTCCATGTCTCTGACTGGCACAGATGGCAGTTCATTTCCTCTGGAAGAAGCCAGTGATGGATGCTTGTCTGCTAGCTTTGCCCACAGCAGCCCCTTTCTTGGGCCCCTTCCGTTCATCTTTGGGCTCTTTTTTCAGAGTCATGGCAGGAGGCCTGTGCACAGAGGGTGTCTTCATCTTGATTTCCTCTTCGCTATCAGTGCAAGATTCACTCTCATAGACTTTTTCAGTCACTAGAACAAGGAAACAATGGGACATGGGTGGGGTGAGTCATTATCAAGAGAATCAAGAGAATGAGATTTTTTTCCTGGTGCAGTACTCAGGAAACTTTCTCCTGGGACAGCATATCCAGTCTCAGCTAGGAAACATGTGGGACTTAAAGCTCTCACACCTTTTAAATGGAGCTGAGAATTAGCACCAAGCCCTCTTCTTTACTATGTCTCCAGCCACTGAATGGGCCTTTATTAAGTCATATTGGCTAGCTTTCTGAGTTCTACATTTGAATTGTATACCTCAAACACATACTCATACACCTAACACCATTCTCTGACTGGTTTCTTGAGTGTTATCTTCCTCACCATAGTTTCTGCCTATTCCCACTGCTGATTTTCCTGGTCTGTGACCTCACTGTGCATATCCTAAATACAGAGGGCTGAACGTTAGCTTTCTCAATGTTGTTTTTCATTGAATGACTACTAACTAACCCAAGATTCAGCAATCTACATCATGAAGGCAACAGTCCCAAGCAAACCCTATTAAAGGATACAGTTGTTTTAAAAAAGGACAATGCTAGAGTAAGAAACAAAAGTTGTGATTTAGAAGGCCTTCCTATTCAAACTGTGCTCCCCAGACCAGAGGCATTAGAATCTCCTATCAGTGCATTAGAAATGCAGAATCTCAGGTTGGGCTGAAGCTCCATGATAAACTACTTACACAGCAAGCACTGGATTCAATCTCTAGTACCAAAAGAGAAGACAAAAAGAAATGCAGAATCTCAGGTCGTACCTCCAGCCTACTAAACCAAAAGTTTTAACTTCATGTAACACAAAGTCAGCAAACTAAGAAATGTATTACTTTTGAGAGGGTTCTTAGGGAATGTCCACAAAATACTATTAGTTCAACAAGCATGATCCCAGAATACCTCTCTCATCTCACATGCATCTTCCAAAGTATTATGTACCTTGATTAATGGGACAAATCTCTGAGTGTTATTTATTCAACATCTCAAGTTAGGACTGATAGTCACCTAAGGCAATGGCTTACTGCTCAGTGGTAGTATATGCCTTTGCTATTTCATACACTGAACTCCATGTTCCAATGGCAGTGTGTCTACAATACTATACTTGAGCACGAAGTAGCTCAATATTTCACTTTTTTTTTTCTTTTTTGGTGCTGGTATTGGGGCTTGAACTCAGGACCTGGGCACTGTCTCTGAACTACTTTTCTCTTGCTCAAGGCTAGCACTCTACCAATTGAGTCACAGTGCCACTTCCGACTTTTTCTGTTTATGTAGTACTGAGGAATCGAACCCAGGGCTCCATGTATGCTAGGCAAGCACTCTACCACTAAGCCACATTCCCACCCCTAGATTGGCCTTTTCACTCAAGGTTTGTGCTCTATCACTTGAGCCACACCTCTACGTCTGGCTTTTTGCTGGCTAATGAGAGATGAGTCTAAGAACTGTCTGCCTGGGCTGGGAAGGTGGCTCAGTGGTAGAGCGCTTGCCTTGCATGCTTGAGGCCCTGGGTTCCTCAGCACCACATAAGCAAAAAGAAAAAAGCCGGAAGTGGTGCTGTGGCTCAAGTGGTAGAGCGCTAGCCTTGAGCTGAAGACTGAGGGACAGCGCCCAGGCCCAGAGTTCAGGCCCCACGACCGGACACCCCCCACCCAAAAAAAAAAAAAAGAACTGTCTGCCTGGGCATCAAACCTGGATCCTCAGATCTTAACTAAGATTATAGGTGTGAACTACTGCCATTGAGCTTTTACTTCTTATGAAGTCCTTCATTGTTGACTGTGTAGGATACATTACTTGGGGGGAGTTGAAAAATAGGCAGGGGAGCACCAACAAGGTATCTTAAGCAGTACACATGGTTTACCTTGAAAATAAAAAGAGGGTTTCTATATGCAAAGGTAGAGCAACCTCAAATTACACAACAAAAGAGATTTCTACTCAAAAACACAGAACTTTTATTGTAGCTGAACAACATGCCACTGTCCATTGCAAAAATGTGTCATTGGGCATAATATCAGATTCTTTTTTCATTCAATTGCTATGCTCTTAGACATTCACTTCTTGTCTACAAGTTCACCAATCTTCTCTCAAGTCCCTGTTGTAAATTCCCAGAGAAGGCAAGATTAGCTTTTTAAGCCCACAGAACCAAGGGGATCCAGCACAGGACAGAGCAAGTAAGGCCCCTGTGCTGGAACATTCTAAAGCAGAGGAAAGCATAACTTTTTTCTTAGTGACCAGAGCCATGATTCATTCATTAGTTGTGCTTGGACTAAAATCCTTACTTGAAAGCATTATGTATCATTGCACTCAAGGTTCTTAACAGTCCTGCTGGAGATTGGACAACATTCCACACCTAGCTAAACTCAAGTGCTGTGTTTTATTTATTTATTTTTTTATAGTAACTTTATTCATAATGACCACAAACTGGAAACAATCCAAATTTCCATCAACATTAGAATGGACAAACTATGGTACAGTAATACAATGGAATATGACACAGAGTCAAAAAATGAACTGCTGCTACAATATGAATTACTCTTGTAGACATATACTCAAGACTCTTATTTCCAATTAGTCATCATCAAAATAACAAGTGGTAGAGCACAAGCCATAAGTAAAAGAACTGAATTCGAGGCCCAAAGCTGGAAGCCAGAGGGTAAGCCTCAGTTCTGGCACAAAAAAAATAGAGAAGGAAAAGGGCAAGGGTTAATAAAGAGCAATGCAATATAGATGGGGTAAATTTGATCAGAGTACATTTATTATATGCTGTTGTAAATATCACAATGAAGCCTCATTGTACAATTAATTTATACTGATAAAAAGTGAACGTGTGTTTGACACTGTTGATGTAGATGCCAGGCTTGTTAGGGCTGCCACATGGGACATGGCCCCAGGAGGTGATGCCGTGCAGCACCCCATTGCAGACTAGCAGGCCCTCCAAGTCTCCCACACAGGTGTCTTTGCCACCCTCCAAGTGCCCTGCACACTGGGAAGGTGGCTCAGTGGTAGAGCGCTTGCCTTGTATGCATGAGGACCTGGGTTCGATCCCTCAGCACCACATAAGCAGAAAAAGCCAGAAGTAGCACTGTGGCTCAAGTGGTAGAGCACTAGCCTTGAGCTGAAGAGCTGAGGGACAGAGCCCAGGCCCAGAGTTCAGGCTCCACAACCGACAAAACAACAACAACAAAAAGTGGGACAAGGTGATTCACTCCTCTAATCCTAGGTAATTGGGAGGCTGAGGGGAAGGAGTAGGGAGAGGAATTGCCCAGGCCACCCTGGGCAAAAAGTTCCTGAGTGCTTGTCAACCAATGCTTGGTGGTGCATACCTGCTATCCCAGTAGGAAATGTAAAGTAGCAAGATTGTAGTGTAGGCATAGGCACAGGTGCGGCCTGGGCAAAAAGTAAGATCCTAGAAAATCAGCAGTTTCAAAAAGGACTGGAGGCTTGGCTTAGCGGTAGAACACTGAATAATAAGCCTGAGTCTGTGAGTTCAAACCACAGTACCAGAAAGAACAACAAACAAAAGAGAAAGGCTGTGATTAGAAAACAAAATATTAAAGTTAAATAACAAGTACCAATTTTTAAATCCCAGTATATTTCCTCAGCAACTGCTGAGTTCCTAGTGTACAAATCTTTGTGCTAGTGATGAAATGAAAGCTGGAAATGAGCACAGTGTAGGGTTTCTAGATATCTGCTCTAGTTTATTGTTCTCTTCTAGGAGTTCATTCAGAAGTGCCTGCAGCCTGAGCCTGCTCAAAGACCAACAGCCAGAGAACTTCTCTTCCACCCAAAGTACTGTGTTTTAAACAAAGTAGTAATTAGCCACAAATATCTAATGAACACAAAAATATTTTACTTTCTTCTCTGAGGGTAGGAGCAAGGGTGATATTACACCAATACTTGTTTCTCCAAGTAAAAGGAGAAAAGTAAGAACTTCAATAGTAAATATATATAGTCCACCCATGGCCAAACCACTGTCTTGAAATAACAAAACAAATCCACTCAAAGTTCAGAATTCACAAGCTCAGGTACTTTTGGCACACAAAGAGCTAATCAATCTTTTAAATATAGAAATTTGAACTAAGAAAGGAACATCAAGAAGGGATGGGGCATCTTTTTCTAAGAGATCTGAGCCGGGCCAAGTGCAACAAAGAGAAACAAGAACAGGTGCTTCAACGGGTAAGAGATTGACAAGGTCAACTCCACAAGGGCACAGTACTGGGAGCTGGGCTCTCTCACTGGACCTCAAGTACTAAATGCTGGAAGTCTCACAAGTCTGGTATAATAATGAGAAGGGTAGAAACAGCTAATAACTCAAATCCTGAATTCTAATTCCTCTCCTGGCCTTGGCAGCAAGCACATGCTTTTTCCTAACATGGGTCACAAAGAGGAAGAACCAGGAAAGTGATGTGGATGAGTTATACTCATCTAGAACAAATAAGATTAAACATCAAAGAAGATTTGGTGGGGGAGGGGAATGTTTTTTCTCTCTCTCTCTCTCTCTCTCTCTTTTTTTTTTGTTGGTCATGGGGCTTGAACTCTGGGCCTGAGCGCTGTCTCTCAGCTCTTCAGGTCAAGGCTAGTGCTCTACCTCTTGAACCACTATACCACTTCCAGTTTTCTGAGTGGTTTATTCAAGCTAGAGTCTCACGGCCTTTCCGGCACAGGCTGGCTTTAAACTGCAATGCTCAGATCTCAGCCTTCTGGGTAGGTAGGATTACAGTTGTAAGCCACCAGTGCCCAGCTGGGAATTTTTTTTTTGAGGGTGCCATTACTGAAGCTTGAACTTGGGTCCTAGGTGATATTCCTTACAATTTTTCACTCAAACTGGTGTTCTACCACTTGAACCACATCCCTATTTCTAGCTTTTTGCTGGTTATTGCTTTTTGCTGGTTATTGGGAGATAAAAAGTCTCACACCCAGGTGTTGGTGGCTCATTTCTGTAACTGTTGCCAGTCAGGAGGCTGAGCTCTGAGGATCACAGTTTGAAACCAGCCTAGGCAGAAAAGTCCCCATGAGAGACTTTTATTTCCAATTAACCATTCAAAAACTGGAAGTGGAGCTATGGCTCAAAATGGTAGCACAAAAGAGCTCAGGGACAGCGCCCAGGCCCAGAGTTCAAGTCTCATGACCAATTTTTAAAAAAAGAATCCCACAGACTTTTTACCTGGGCTAGCTTCTGAGATCCTCAAATCTCAGCCTCCCGAGTAACTTGGATTATAGGTGTGAGTCAGTGGCACTTGGCAAGAAGATTCTTGGTTCTTTCAATTGAGAAGTTGCTTTCCCACTGCTCAAATTTATAAAACAATCACCCTAAAAAAGTTATCAAATGTTTCTCAATGTTTGTAAGAATACCCTAAGTTCAGATTATCTCACTTGACTCTTCATAACAACCCTACCAATAGGCAAAATAGATTATTTTACTTCCATGGTAAAGACCAAGAAGACCCACCAGGGCAAACACAAATTTTTTTTTTTTTGGTTGGTCATGGGGCTTGAACTCTGGGCTTGGGTGCTGTCCTTTTGCTCTTCAGCTTAAGGTGAGCACTCTACCGCTTGTGCCACAGCACCACTTCCAGTTTTCTAGTGGTTTATTAGAGATAAGAGTCTCACGGACTTTCCTGCCCAGGCTGGCTTTGAACCGCGATCCTCAGATCGCGAGTAGCTAGGATACAGGCATGAGCCACCGGCGCCCAGCTACAAACACAAATTTTAACCAAGATGTCAAAGCTTACTTTTATGGCCTATGTCCCAACAAGAGCCCAGGTGTCCTGACTTCACCTGGAGTTCTCTATACTCTGCCACTCCAAGTGGCAGCAGCAATAGCAGCACATAGAGCTGTGTCATATGTGCATATGACACAGAGATTCTGGTTCCTCTCTATGGTAATAACTCATCTCTGGATTCAAAGCCAACATTTTGTTTTACCTATGCAGTTGTCTTCATCCACAAAGGTTTTAGATTTCAGGACACGCTTTCGTTTTCTTCTGTTTTCTCCACTTGAACTCTAAAAGATCAGAGGACACAGTATTACGTTAGACAAAGCTATTAAAAAAAAAAAAACAAGTAACAAAAGATTTTAAATCTCTAACAATCACTCCCCAATAGTCCATTATGATAAAGTTGAAAAAGAAACTACACTTAAGACAAGTCCTACCACACCGACAAGCTATGTTCTCCATATACAGAGGCTGGATTATTCATTGCTTCAGAGAAAGAAAGCAGCATGCCGAGGAAAGAAATGGATCCACTCAAGCAATAAGGTTTTGGTGGATAATACAGACACCATGGTTAAAAGGCAAATAGGGCCAAATAGAGGCTCACACCTGTAATCCTAGCGCTTCAGGAGATCTGAGATCTGAGGACAGAGGTTCAAAGCCAACCTGGGTAGGAAAGTCCATGAGACTTTTTACCTGTAGTTAACCAAAAAGCCCGAAGTAGAGCTGTGGTTCATGTGGTACAGCACTAGCCTTAGCAAAATAACTAAGGGACAGTGCCCAAACTCTGAATTCAAGCCCCACTGTCAGCATCAAAAAAAAAAAAAGACAAATAGGATAAGGACCTTAGTGGAGAAGAGGCAAGGATAGCAGACCACTACAATTCACTGTTATAAGAACTTTAATGGAAGACTGGGGCTGTCCTCCATTAAAGGGGTGACCCCTAAATCAGATCATGGGCTTCTCCACCTAGGCTCCTGCTATGATATGTCATATGTTGGTATGTTAGCTTTAACATTTCAACATTATAGTCAATCTATAACAGGAATTAACATCAATTTCCCTTATATCTCCACCAGTCCTTCATCCCCCTCTTCTCTTCTGCTAATAGATCAGTGCAAGAATTAAATAAGTCTTAATTTTGAATTAAGAGAAAGCCAATGGGTACAAGTTAAAAACATTAGCACTTGTTTTCTCAATATTTCATTATCAACAGTAATAGATATAAATAAAACACAGCAGAAGAGCAAAGAAAACCCTATGTTCCCATTTGACAGCTTTTCTCCTCTAGCCCTTTTCCAGAATAGCAACAAACATGAGTCATAGGGCTTGAACTCAGGTCCTGAGTGCTGTTCCTGAGAATTTTTTTTTTGTTCAAGGCTAGCACTCTACCACTTTGAGCCAAAGCTCAATGTCTGATTTTCAGATGGTTAATTGGAGATAAAAGTCTCATGGCCTTTCCTGCTTGGGATGGCTTCAAACTACAATCCTCAGATCCTAGCCTCCTAAGTAGCTAGGATTATAGATGTTAGCCACCAGAACCTGGCTAGACACAAGTTCTTTCATTGTTTCCTTCTATCTTCCCCCCGCACCCTCCCCACCCCTAATTCCAACTGCAGTGTAGCACAACAGCCCTGATGGTGAAGGTTATGAAAAACAAAGCAGCTCCCCAAACCCACCTCCATAACCTTCCTGAGACTATGTCCTATAGAAGAATCTCCCTTTAGGTGAGAAGAGAGGGAATACCCACTCAGTCAACCTGTAGGAAGTAGAATGTGATGAGAGCCATCTATTGGCTTTTGTGAAATCTACAGCAAGTCTTGATCAGCATTCAAACTATATAGATCCTCCTCAGGCAGCAAGCTCTGCCAGTGAATTTTTACCTTGACAGGAGGCTCAGGTTCAGTCTTTGGCACTGGATCAGGAGGTGGAGATACAGGAGGAGGTGGGGGCAGTGACTCAGCTTCATAAGCCCCAGGAGAGTCTGGGAAGACTGAAAAAAAAATGAAATAAGTTTAGATAAGAGAATTGCAAGCTCTAGCAGCTACAATGCCTTCTCTGCCAACATTGCTAAACTTCTACATCTAGAAAGGGGCATTTTATATGGAGTAATTCATGATCCATGATAGCCAAGGCTGTTGCAGTTATCTTTCAATACACATCAATTTTATATAACCAAAACCAGAGGTTCCAGAATTATCCAAGTTTAGAAGAATCTCAGAGATGATCTTAGCCAAATGTTTTACTTTACAGGTTAAGTCTGAGCACAAAGTTGGTTTACAAATATCCACTCATCTCCTACTATGTGTTATGTTATTTTATACATACAATTCTCACATACATAAAAGTTTGGAGAGATTTCTTTACTTGCTAAAGTCATAACGCCTGTAATGGATACAGGAGGGTTTTAAAACCCAAGTCCATCTGATTCAGTAGCTTTCTCAATGCAACTATCCACACTGCCTTACCATTCATGACCAGACATTTCTCCTCAAGACAAAGTACAAAGACAAACCTCATCCAGATGGTCCACACCAGAGGCTTTGTTATTGTGACCTGAGGACTACTTGCAATTATTTGAGATGTTTGGGGGGGGGGGGGGGGGATAGGTCACCTCTAAAGTGATATTCTAACAACCAAGACTATTTTGCATGGGAACAATTTCTAATGACTGCCTCACTGACCAAGTTCTGCTGAGAGTAGGAGAAAATAATGTTATGCATGAAATCACCAGAGAAGAGAGGGCTACAAGAGGGATCTCATTGTTTCTTAGTAGTTACAGAAATAGTGAGTCTAGTAAAGACCCATTAGAAGAAAAGTGAAGACTCCTTAACTAACCTTTTTCTTAATCACCACAAAAGGATTGCTGGTCAGAGGGAAGGGTTAGATACTTAGCTTCATCTGCTCTCTGAATCTCCTGGCTGCATTCGAATTCTAAGCACAAGCCTTGGATCTGAATTTCTCCCAACTGATTAGGTCAGTGTAAAAATTATGACAGTACAGGGTTCATGGCCAAATGATCTGAAGAGGTGAAGCAGAACAAGAGCCAGAACGAAACAGTACAGGCCCACTTTATAAGCTCTGGAAAACAAGAAACAGAAATACAAAAGAGGTCCAACTATTAACCCAGCTCTGGGACACTAGCACAGAGTGAGAGCTTAAGTGAGAGAAGTGTCACATCCCAGAACCAGCTGCCCACTGTTATGTAGAAAGAGATATTCAGAAAGCCAGGCCACAAGGACAGATGTATGTTAGAGTGGTTGGAGGAGTTTGGGCAGTGAAGAAGCCAAAGAAAAAGAGTTGTGAGTACTCGCAGTAATAAATTTAGGTGTTCTCATTCTATTTCCAGTTCTGCAACCACTTGACTTACCCAAGGAAAACACTTAATACCAGTGGCACCATTTAGCCCCTCACCGCAGTGCATGCAGCTGTTTGTTTACCCACATTCCCCCCAGGCTCTGGCTCCAAAGAGGAGGGCTGCCACAATTCCCTTGGTACTCAACACAGAGTAACAGTAACTGTTTTTTTGTTGTTGTTGTTGTTTTATTTGTTTCAAGTAAATGAAAATAATCACTTTCTGAAATAAATTTGGAATGAGGAACATCCAGGCCAAAAAAGACAACATAGGCCTCCCTCCTCCTTCGGCATGTCCCTAAGAGAAATGCCAAATGTAGGAATTAGATTCTATAACCCAGTACATTGGAAGAGGACAGAGGAGTCAAGAGCCCTTAACAAAGAAATTTCATGAAATCCCTGATATGAACAGGAGAACACTGACAAGAGAAAAGCTAATCAAATAATTGAGAATGCAGAAATTACTTTCCATGAGAAAGCTTGGTTTAGCTGACTTAACAAATTTTGTATCTATTAGTTTGTTTAAATTTTTCAAAAGAAAACATTTTGAGAAATATTGAGACAAAAAGCTGCAGTTTTCTAGATCTCAGGAACATTCTTTTAACCCCAGAAATCACTATCTTATACAGTCTTATACAACTGAGGTTCAAAGAAATTAGAAAAAATAAAACAGCCTTACTCATATTTATATTTATATGCTGGAATGGGAAGAACAGATAGCGTGCCTTCCTGCTTTATTCTATCATCAAGCCAGCACTAGGACTCAGCACATATTTAGTGACAGAACTCTAAGATATGCCTGATGTAAAGGGATGGGACAAAGTGAGATAAGGAGTGAAATTGATCCGGATATACTGTATACATGTTTAGAAATGTTACACAGTGAAAACTCCTCATTTATCCCCTGATGATACCATAAAAAGTTTGATTGTATTAGTCAGTGTTAAATATATCTGAAGCAAATCTACCACTCTTCTGATGAAAGGCACTTAAGTAGTCAAACATCATCTGAGGAAAACAATTTTGTTGGGACAGAATAAGTACTGTGGTCAAGCTAATTTCAGCATCCAGCAGTGGAACCACTTGTTTGTCAAGACTTCTCTGGCAGAGATGAGGAATTAGAATTCCTGGAAAGCACCCATAGCTTCCTAGGAGTCAATTTTTTTTTTTTAGATTAATCTGTTTATTCCAAGAAATTAACACATTAAAAATAAACATCCAAGCCACGTCATTCTTTAATCTTTTAAACAAAATGTACAATTTAAATATCACACTATGGTGGAAATAACAGTAGTAAACCCATCCTTACTTCAAGAGTGGGAATCATTTGCTTATAAACATTCTCCACAAACAACCTGCTAGGATTGAGAATATTAGCAAATACTTAAAACATATCTGCAGAAATTTTATTTAATATACTCTCCAGCTATGTAGATATTATTATTGATGTTCTTTCTGGGTTTGGTCTCTTTTGCTTTACAAGAGTATGGAGAACTGCTAGAGGTGCTTATGACATTGCCAGGTGAAGAAATAGAAGCTTCAGTGGTAGAGTCCGAGCAAGAAGGTGAAGGTATTTCTGAAAGGTTCTAGTAGATATAAGTACCACTGCTCAACACTGACTAACCATGCAATAGAAGAGTGGTTGGCAACAAGAACAGATACTCTGTGTGAAGTACTGTCAAAGTACTAGTGCAGACATCTTTTCTTTTTCTTTTTGTTTTCAGGTGGTACTGGGTTTTGAACTCAGGGTATCATGCTTGCAAGGCAAGTACACTACACCCCAAGGAGGTGTGACATATCAATCATCTTATTTGCTGATCATGAAAAACCTGTGTGGTACCATCTTGATTTTAGAAAGGAGGAAACAGTCAGGCACTGATGGCTCACACCTTTAACCATAGTTACTCAGGAGGCTGAGAGCTGAAGACTGCAGTTCGAAGCCAGTCCAGGCAAGAAAGTCTGTGAAACTCTATATATCCAATTAACCAGCAAAAAGACAGAAGTAGAGCTGTGGCTCAAGTAGTAGAGCACTAGCCCTGAGCACAAAAGCTCAGGGACAGTGCCCAGGCCCTGCCTGATGCACGCGCACACACACACACACGCGCGCGCGCGCGCGCACAGCAAGAAACAAAGATACAGAAGTGAAGAAACCTGTCTCAAGTCACACAATTAGCAGTGCAGGAAAGATAGAAACCAAGTCTGTCTGACTTCAGATTCCATGAAAATTTCTCTGCTCCTGCTGCTCCTCTGCTAACTATAAGCTTACGACAGCAGATTGAGCTAATAGCACATTACCAGTATAACACAAACACAACAGGAATAAATGAAACATAGTATAAAAGTTTAAATCCTATTGGTGATGAGACAAAGAAATTTGAGAATAAAATGACAGAGGTTTATAAATTTCATCAAATGCCAAAACTTTTTGCCAGAGGAAAAACTCTAGAGCCCTTGTTCCCATCTGTTATTGAAGGCTGCACACCTCTATCACATTACTTTTCCTGCTTTCCAAACTAAACCACCCCACTCATATTTCTAATCACCCTAGGGTGTTATTATTTCTGTGGCCTACAGATCAGAACTACAGAGAGTATTTTAGAAGAATGTAATGAAGCCCAATTAACCACAGTACTTCCTTGCTTTAAGAGCTGACTCCTGCACTAATACTAGATTATATCATCTATTTCCAATATATTAGGCTGATGGTTTTAAAGCCTTCTCCAGACTTTTCCCACCAACTTCTTTTCCAATTGGAAATAGGAACAATTATTCCAATGAAGATATAGTCCTAGCTGGTGCTGGTGGCTCATGCCTTTAATGCTAGGTACTCAGGAGGCTGAGGTATGAGGATCACAGTTCAAAGCTAGCCTGAGCAGGAAAGTCTCTGAGACTCTTTTTTTTTTTTTTTGGTCAGTCATGGGGCTTGAACTTTGGGCCTGAGCACTGTCCCTCAGCTCTTCAGCTCAAGGCAAGCACTCTACCACTTGAGCCACAGTGCCACTTCTTCTCTGAGACTCTTATCTCCAATTAACCCCCAGAAAACTAGAAGTGGTGCTGTGGCTCAAAGTGTAGAGAGCTAACCTTAAGTGAAAAAGCTCAGGGACAGTGGCCAGGTGCTGAGTTGAAGCCCCATGACTTTAAAAAAAAAAAAAAAAGACAGTCCTAAATTTACTCTCTATTTCATCTGTCTATATGGACTGCCTTTATTTCATTCTTTAAATGATCAGAGCTTTCCTTGATTGCCTTTCTTTCATTCACATAGTTAGGACTCTTCCTTTTCAGTAAATTTAGTCAAAGCATTTGACAAATGACCCAAAGTGAGAACGTAGCAAGTTCCTCTCTGGGATGCTCACAATGCCTACATTGCCAGACAACTCTGAAGAGCACTCACTGCCTTCTCACAGGGCACCAGAGGCTGCAAGCCTTGACATTTATCCATGAACATTAAGAGTTGGAAAGTTACTTTCTCAAAGGTTCAACTGCCTGGTCCTGCTTCTCTCATACTTGTTTTACACTAGTTTTTGCACACATACAAATCCATTTTCTCATTTTTTTACTCTTCCTTTTGGGGAGAACCTCTGTACTATCTTTAGTCCTTCTAATACCATTTTCTGGCAAGTCTTACATTTTTAGTTTTGTCCTAGGACAGCATAACAGGTTCTTTTGGGCATTCATTATTATTGAATCCCTCTTATTATCTGTTTATTTGTATTTGTCCATGTGCCTTTGTGTGACACTGAATTTCTTTGAACTACATTTCCCTCATTACCTAAAATGGTTTGTATGTTTTAGGCCATGACATCTTGGAGAACTGCTAACAGCTGCTCAAGGTTTTAACCCCTAGTTCTCAAAGCATGCTTTCTAGGGTAGAGATACCTAGCACATCAATTTTGCCTAGGTGCCTTTTTCTTCTGGCTCTTCCTATATACCATATATGATTTTAGATTAAATGAAAGTAGTTAAAAGAATATCCCCTTATTAAAAGAAAGAAAACATTTTAGACAACATGTACTACAGTACTGTTTATCCCTTTTCTCTTTGCATTGGTTAATTCACAAGATACCAAATGATCATGATTCTGATCAAAAGCTAAAGTAGATTTCAAACAGAAATAGGTGCTATATTCTTTCAACGTTAGGGTTACAACTCTCACTGTAACCCTAATAAATACATATTTCACTCTTTGAGCATTATAAGAATTGATCCCAGCCCAAAATGAATAAACAATGCCCACCTTCATCTTCACTGCTATCAGACTGAGGAAGTTTGATCCTTCTCCTCTTTTTCTTCATGCCTTCAGTTTCCTTTATTTCATCATCAGATAACTCTACTCGCTTCCCCCTTTCGCCATCCAGGAATAAATAAAGCATGTTATATGGAATGAACATGTGAATATTCCTATCTTCCTATGTATCTTGCTTTATAAACCATGGTCTTATTTCCAAAGGCTAAAAAAGTCCAAGAGACAAATATTCTTTTTAAGTATATACTGCTAGCTCCCACAACCAGATCACTTTATAGGGTAACCAGAGTAAAACATTTCTCTAGCTCTCTACAGACCATTGGAAGCTACAACTAGATTATCAAGAAAGGTTTCTTACTTTCCCTTTCAAGCATTTAACAAGCATCAAATTAGCAGCTACTTCCTATATACAAAAGTCTTCAATAAACACTAAAGAAACAGAGATCAGAAAAAAAAAAAAATACTGTTCTCAAGAAGCTCTGGCCAGTCAGGTACCAGTGACTCATTCCTGTGTAATGCTAGCTACTCAGGAGACTGAGATGTGAGGATTCTGGTTCAAAGCCACACTAGGCTGACTGGATTGGAAAAGTTCTTATATCTAATTAATCACCAAAAAGATTCCAAAGGGAGGTGCAGCTCAAGTGGTAGAGCACCACCCTTGAGCAAACAACCTAAATGATAGCACCCAGGCCCTGAGTTCAAGTCCCACTACCGAAACAAAAAAGATCTGGCCAGTCAGATGTGATGGGTACATATAATTCTAATGCTTGAGAAACTGAAGAAGGAAGATCATGTATTAAAGGCCAAACAGGACTACATAGTAAGACCCAAAATAGAAGCTCCAGCCAACACCACTAGTTATAATGCAATATGATAGACTTTAATGGACAAATAAAATGTTGTGGGACATAAGATTGTTACTTCAGAACTTTTGGATATTCTACCACACTGTTCACTTGATCGGTGAGTAATTTATCTGCTAGAGATAAATACATTTAACTCATAGTCTTTGTCACTAAGTAATGTCTTCAGTTACCCTATCAACTTTTCTTTCTATCTTTTATTAGAAAAAGACTAAACCAGTATAATCCCTTAGAAAGGCTAACAAACAAACACCAGGAACTGGGATGGGTGGGGGTCAAGGGGCAAGAGGTAGGCGAATGAAGAGAAGATGGGGAAAATGCAGTCAAAAACTCCATGCCTATCTTACAAAATTAAGGAAAGTGAGAGAAGGGGGAAGGGAGTGAGGAGGAGTGAGAATGTTTGAAGAGGTGAGTTGACCAAGACACATTGTATTCATAAATTGCTTTGAATGGTAACTCCTTTATACAACTCCTTAAAGATAATAAGCAAATAAAGACTAAACCAAACCCAAAATAAGTAAAGGAAAATAGTTTTTAAAGTATATTAGTTGTAAAAAGGAGTTTTATTGTGACATCTTCCCACACACATATAACATATCCCTATCAATTGCTATCACATTCTTCATCATCCCACTCTCTCCCTATGAAAACCACCCTAATAGGTAACATATGGTCCACTTTCATTCACCCTCTTTACTAGTCCCTCCCCACTCTTGCTGGTACTTATTCCCCCAATGGAGCCTGCCCTATACCAAAAGGAAATAATTTTTGTTTTTTTGGTCCGGTCGTGGGGCCTGAACTCTGGGCCTGGGCACTGTCCCTCAGCTTTTCATATCAAGGCTAGAGCTCTACCACTTGAGCCACAGCGCCACTTCCAGCTTTTTCTGCTTATGTGGGCTAAGGAATCAAACCCAGAGCCTCATGCATGCACGGCAAGCACTCCACCACTGAGCCACCTTCCCAGACCCGGAAATAATTTTTTAAAGTATGAACATAAATCAATGTAATAGAAAAATATAAGGAAAAAAAAAAACCCTCGCAAAGGCAAAGGTGTTATTTTTGAAGAAAAGACTACTAAAATCAATAAGCCTACTATAAAACTGACTTACAAAAATAGACATTTTACCAATCAGGAATGAAAGAGTGATGGACTCTATAGTGCTGACTGAAGGTTTACAGATGCTTAAGGGACAGGCTGTATTACCAGTGACTTCATGCTAGTTAGCCCAATAGCTCAGATGAAATAAAGTACCTTAAAAACACAACTGACTCAAAACCGATCTAAGAAAGAGAAAATTTGAATGACACTATGTAAAGGAATCAAGTTCACAACAGGACTGGGAATGTGGTTCAAGTGATGAAGCACTTGCCTAGTAAGCACAAAGCGCTGAGTCCAATCTCCAGTACTGCCAAAAGAAAAAGGAGTCATTCACAATAAACACCTTCCTGTTTAAAACAAAAATCCAGGAGTAGGCCAAGGCCCAAATTCACTAAGGGATTTTATCATACATATATTTCTTAAATATACCCAAACTCCTGCAGAAACCCCTGCAAAACCCCTTCTCAACTACTTTTATGAATTTAGCATGACTGTGATAGTAAAACTAAACAAAAAGATTATCAGAAAGCAACTGGCCTATAGTCCTCATAAACACAGAAGCAAAAACTGTTTACTATAATAGTAACAAATCTAATCTAGCTATGTATTAAAAGAACAATGCCTCCTGACTAGGGTTTATCTTAAGAATGCAAGGCTATTTTAAGATCAATTAGTATAACTGACCATATTAACACCAAATATAAATGCAGAAAAAGCATCTGTCCAAATTCAACACCATTCATGATGAAACCTGTCATAACAACTTTCTCAATGGTAAAGGGTATCTACTAAAAATCTGCAATTTCAATCCTATCTAGTAGATAGTGCATTCCTGGCAATAATAATCAACCCATGGCTGGGGACATTTTAACCCAGCTGTACCACATGTCCCTAGGAATAAGGGTTACTGGACAGAGCCTTAAGCCTCAGAAATATCACCATTTGCTGATGTTTTCTACTCAAGTTGTCCTAACCTTGCCACAAAAGTCAGTTCTTTGTGGCCTATCAGTGCTGACAGTGTCTTTTAGAATTTCTTTCAACAGACTAATTCTACCAACTATGAGGTAGTGTCTCAAATTCCTGGATCCATTTTTAACAGCTTGTATGCTTTTTATTTTCTTTTCTAATTACATTTTACCACTTGAAAAATAAACTCATTGATATAAAAAGAAAACAAAGACCTTTTTCTCTTAAATTTGACTGGAAACAGTAACCTCTCATTTGGCAATTTGGAGTGTAATGCACACAGGCCCACGCACAACACTCAGCTCTTATGCAATGTCCACAAATTTAAAATGAAGTAGCAGGGGAAAGATAATCAATTTAGATCAGCAGGGACAAAAATATGACTTGATGCCGTAAATCACAAAAGCTGGCTGATGGCACAGATCTACTTCACTAGAAAAGCTACCAAGCTTCTCTCTTCATTTTGCTTGTACAGTTGTATCCCTAAGGCATTAAGTAGGATTTACCACTCAACTGAAAACTGCCTGCTGTCAATAAGCCCAAGCAGACCTATCCCCCAGCAGACATTCTTCCCCCGCAAGGGACAACATTTTCCTACCATTTTTTTTCCTTCTGCTGCATCTTAACAGGTTCTGCTTTTTTGCTGGGTTTCTTCAGGCCTGTGGGAGCTGCCAACTTGGCTTCAGTGACAGACACTGAAGGCTGCTGCATTGCTTTTTCTTCTTTCACTGCTTGTTCCGAATCCAAATTGACTTTAAGTTTACCTACAAAGAAAGTATTGCAGATGATATACAGCCTTATCAGACAATATCAATCTCTCACTCTCAACAACCTACTTACTATGTGCCAGGGAATATGTTAGGAGCAACGGCCAAATGGGTGAAAAACAGTCCTTGTCCTAAAGAAGCTCAAGGTCTGTTCAGAAAACACTTCTCCTTTCCAACTACTACTTAAGCTGGAGTGGTTCATTTCTGCCTCCCGCTAATGTCTTGTATTACAGCCCCAAGTCAAATGATAATAAAAACAAAACTTAGAAGAAAAAAAAAAAATCAACCTTGTGAGATAGCATCTCTCTCATTTTTCCAATGAGGAAAATGAAGAGTCACAGGTAATAAGAGTACACAGTTTAAAAAAATGGTGATAATTAAAATCTCCAAAAACAAATCCTCAATGAAACAACTACCTGATTAATAAGTGGGCTAAAGACTTAAAAAGAGACTTCTCTGAAGAGAAAATAAGAATGGACAACAGACACATGAAGAAATGTTCAACTTCTCTAGCCACTTCACCCCAGTTAGAATGGCTATAATCAAATCTAGTAATAACAGATACTAGAGGGGATGTGGCCAAAAGGGAACCCTTTGGTTCCCACCACCCTGTTGGTGGGAGTGTAAACTTGTTTAACCACTTTGGAAAGCAGTACGGAGGATCCTCAAAAGACTACACATGGAGCTCTCCTTTGACCCAGGCATTTTTGGACATTTACCCAAATCATCACAAACAAGTCATACTAAAGCTACCAGCACAACTATGTTTATCACAGCATTATTCACCATAGCTAAGACATGGAACCAACCGAGATGCCTCTCAGTAGATGACTGGATCAAGAAAATGTGGCATATATATACAATGGAATTCTATGCCTTCATCAGAAAGAATGATACTGCCCCATTTGTTAGGAAATGGAAAGACTTGGAAAAAATTATATTAAGTGAAGTAAACCAGGACCAAAGAAACATAGGTCCCATGGTGTCCCTTATTTGCAATAACTAGTATATGCCTAGGACAAGCAGAAAAGATCAAAAGCTATGTACATATGACCATATAAGATGATGCTAAGCAAAATGAACTCCAAGGACATGAGGCTTTATTTTTGTTGCTGTTGTTTTTAATGTATTTATAATGTACTATGCGATTTTTTTTTTTTGTATATTCTTCCCCCATGGTATAACCTGTTTTCACTGTATTTGATTCCAGTGCCCTGCATCTTGTATATATATATTTCTAATTTGGGAAGGAGAAGGGAAATAATAAAATGCTGAAATAAGGATACAGGTGACCCATTGTAGCAATGAGATGTACAAAACACTATGTTGAAAACGAACTTTACAACTTTGGTGGCAGGAGGTAGGGGTTGGAGGTTGGTTGGGGGGGGGGAGGGAGTTGGGGAGGTAGGAGGGAAGGGATGGTAGGGAGCAAAATTAATATGTAAATAAAAGGATGTAACATCAAGTGTCTTACCTAAAGTAACACTGACAGGAAAAAGAGCCAAGATATGAACCTAAGTCAGTCCTGACCCTTTTCCTTAGACACAAACATAACTGTGCAGTGTGGGACTGACAAATGTAAGCAAAATGGGCCTACCTGAGAATTTGTGAAAGCACATAACCTATGAAATCTTATTATCTGTGAAAGCATATATAACCTGTGAAAGCATAATTTGTTGTACTCAGTGTAAGCAATGTCACACAATAGTATTCAAGTTGTAAACAGCAGAACTATGTACAAGTTAGTACAATAATTTATATTATATTTACACTTTTAAAGATTTAAATGGGAAACATGGATTTTGGAAACCCACTAGCCCAGTAGTAATAGTCTTGCTTGAATTTTCAGTTCTACTGTTCTCAAGTATTAGTGTTTCTCAAACTTTCCCACCAAAACATCCCAAACTCACTAGGAAATAAAACATGTTTAATCACAGAACTCCACTCCTTTGTATAGTTGAATAATATTCCACTGTCTTTATATATACTATGTTTTGTTTATTCATTTAACAGTTGATAACCCTTTGATTCACTCAACAGATGATGACCCTTTGGGTCATTTATACTTTTGACTCAAAAAATGTTGCTAGGGACATTTTGTACATGTTTTTGTGTGGACATAGTTTTAATTAACTTGAGTAGATACCTGTCACTGGAATTAAAGAGTAATCCTTGTTTAACTTTTTAAAGTATTGCCACATGTTCGGAAGAGTGAGTTTACTATATTACATTCTCCACAGTAATGTTCAGTTTCTCCACATCTCTGCCAACATCTGCTATTGTCCAGCATTAAGTTTATACAGTTCAAGTCCCACAATGAGCTTTCTTCATCCAGCTTCCTAGTTTTATTTTCATTGCAATGATCTTGTCTTGTGTCAAATATAATTTAAAAAAGAAAACCTCATAATTTTATCCTGAACATTAAAGCTCTTAAAAAATACATTAAATCTACTTTGCAAGTGATTTTACTAAGTGAATACTGAACTCTTGTATTTTATCTAAGCTTCTCCTTTCTCTCTATTCTATACCATTACAACATCTGCCTAGCAATCACAATCATTTTTCCCATGTATTTACTTATCTGTCTCTCCAATTGACAATAAAGGCCATGAGGGGAGGGACTTTGCCTTTTTTTCCCCATAATACCACCAATACCTAATAGTGACAAACATATAGTAGTTGCTCAATCAATATTAACTAAATAAAAATAAATGTAGGCCAGGTATTGTGGCTCATGACTGTAATACTAGCTACTCAGGAGGCTGAGATCTGAGGATCACAGTTCAAAGCTTGTGAGACTCTCATCTCCACTAAACTACCAAAAAAGACTGAAGTGAAGCTGTGATTCAAGTGGTAAAACACTAGCCTTGAGCAAAAGAAGCTCATGGACAGCACCCAGACCTTGAGTTGAAGCTCTAGGACAGGAACCAAATAAACAAACAAACAAACAAATAAATGTACACTTATATAGAATAAGTATTTTTACAGTTACCAAACATTCACATCACACACATTAAATAATGTAAAACTTCAGTTTCTTAAGGTTACAAACACACAAATATGTGGCCCTTATCAAAACTGCCAAGAAGCCACAATCTGACTGGATATGGTGGCAGCACCAGCATCAGGACTGGCCACCAGCATGATGTTCCATCACAGAAGTAGGAAGCCTTCCTGTGCAGGGGGTGGGGGAGTGGTTTCTCAATAACCTTCCAGCATTGCACTTTCTACATTCTCTGGGCACAGAAAAATGTTCTTCCCTGAAGGTTCTCATGGCAAATAAAATACCATCATCCCAATCTTCCCTTAATCACCGATTTGGCTACCATGGAAAGGCAAAATTCAGAGCTGGTTTTTTTTTTTTTTTGCACAGGCATGTAACAAAATGCCATAAAATCACTGTAAAAATCTATGCTCCAAGAAAAGTGTGCCGTAATTACCCAGCAGCTTCCAAATTCTTCCTAGTTTTCTGTCACATACCCCAGGGGATGTAAACTTGATATGGGAAGTATGAAAAATATCTAAGTATTGTTTCTTTCCACAAAAAATCTTGTTGGGGGCTGGGAAGGTGGCTCAGTGGTAGAGCGCTTGCCTTGCATGCATGAGGCCCTGGGTTCGATTCCTCAGCACCACATAAGCAAAAAGAAAAAAGCCAGAAGTGGTGCTGTGGCTCAAGTGGTAGAGCGCTAGCCTTCAGCTGAAGAGCTGAGAGACAGCGCCCAGGCCCAGAGCTCAGGCCCCACAACCGGACCCAAAAAAAAAAAAAAAAAAAATCTTGTTAATTAAGTAGTTTTTAAAATAAAGACTTCTGCTTTCTCAAAAAATAAATAAGTTTAAATTGCTACCTGGATCCTTCCAGTGCATGCAGAGTATTTGATTCCTATGTGGAAATAACTAAAACAGAAGACTTGTTTTTGTGGCTCTCTGGGATATAGGAATAACCAAGGTCACAGAAGGCAATGGATGCCAGCATCTACAATCTACACTGCTGTACCACTAAACAGACTCCTTTCATGAGGCTGGGAAGGGATGGGAAGGGTAAACAAAGGAGGAGGCTACAATGCTTGATAAGAAATGTACTCACTATCTTGCCCATGTAATTGTAACCCCTCTGTACAGTATTTTCACAATAAAAAAAAAAAAAAACTAATCTAAAAAAAAAAGAAGTGTACTCATTATGTTGCCCATGTAATTGTAACTCCTCTGTACACTATTTCATAATTAAAAAAAAGAAAATTGAAAAAAAAGAAAATTACATATATGTACATACATATATAATTATATGCACAATATTATATACAGATATATATGTGTACATATATAAATATATATGTACACACATTCAATAGGAGCTTTAATGTGTCAGAGTAAACAAACCCTTTGGAAATGCAGGGGAGCTAGCCATGCAGCTCTGCAGTAAAGCACACTGCACATATGTGCATTCGTAGTCCTCAGTTCCCAGAACCATCCTGTAGTGTGTTACTGGCAAGAGAAAATAGCCTTGACTAATGCAGGTTACGGAGTCGTACAGTCCTGCTTCACATGTGTGAGGCCCTGAATTTATCTCTAACATGTCACTGGAGGGAGGGATGAAAGCTTCCCGGCTTCTATGCAAAATCACAGGCCCTTGAGAAAAGCCCCATTTAAGGATATATCACAAAAAGGTAAGTTTTACAAGGTGAAAGTTTTAACAAGGATTTATATTAGTATAACCAGGTTTGAGGAGAAACATTTCTTGTTCCCAATGCAAGAAATGGAAGCTAAACACCCATTTGTTTTAAACACTCACTTTCAAGAGCTCCATGAAACAAATATTTCATTTTTTTTTTTTAGGCAGGAAATTTGAAGCAGAAATAATATAATCAATCTACCCTCCAAGAGATATTAACTGAGCCCAGCTCACCCATGCAGTTCATGGGCCACGGGTTAAATTCATTAGTACATTAGTCATTACAGGGTAAATTTATATTAGAGAATGTATGGCTAGGCACAAAATTGGCCTTTGCCTCAGGTATGATGTATTACTGAACAGATACCAAACACAAATCAAAGGAAAGTAAGAATATGCTTACTCATAGCAGCTTTTCCGAAAAAATTGCTCATCACATTCCCCTTTCCTGGTGCTTTGCTGCCTGCTGTAGACACCTAAAAGCACAGAAAAGAACACATACATGACTTTCTTCACAGCATTTAGGCTGCCCTTGTACTTGTCTTGAACTATCTCTTCAGTAACAGAGATGGTAGACATAAGAACTAATCTACTATAACAATGGTCTAGACCAGACAATAACCAGATAATTAATTTCTAAAGCTTTGTTTCTCAGAACTTTTACAAAAATTATCCATGTATGTATCTAAACTTTTCCGAGCACATTTGAAAACTATTAAGATTAACAGAATTAAAACAAATCAGAGGCAGTGTGGTACACTACACAACAGGGGGCAGCGGACAAACTGTAACACTTTTAGTCATCAGAAGTAGATCTGAAAATGACAAGATTCAAATAATAAGAGGATTTACACAAAGATCAAACCATGACTACATAGAAGGAATTCAAAGTGTTTTTGTTTTCCTCTATCTTTCTCTTTTCCACATGTAGAAAGAAGCTCAATAATAGTAATTAACAACAATTTCAGTTTTCTGGATTTTTAAGATAGCATTTTGATGTTTGGGTTGTTGTTTGTTTTGTTTTTTGAGACAGGGTATCAGGCTAGCCTCAAGCTCACTTTGTAGCCTAGGCAAACCTCAAATTTGTGATCCCCCTGCCTCAACCTTCTAAGTACTGAGAATATAGTATTATGCATACCTATGTATGTATGCACAACAATACTGAGTACTATCATTTTGTTGTTGTTGGAGACTGGGACTCAAACTTGGTATTTGACCGTTTTGCTCACTGACTGGTACTCTACTACCTAAGCCATGCCTCCAACACCTTTTTTCTTTTTTTCTTTCTTTTTCTTTTTTAGTAGTGATACTGGGGTTTGATCACACAGCCTCACACTTGCTAGGCAGATTCTCTACCACTTGACAGGCCTGACCTCAGTCTTCTGATTTATGGCTTCCCACATAGCTGGAATGATAAGCACAGTTCACCATATCCAGCATTTTTGTTAAGATCAAGTCTCACAAAATTTGTTCTGAGCTAGCTTTCAAACTACAATTCTCCCGGTCTCCCAAGTAACTCCTAAGTAGCTGGGATTACAGGTATGAGCCATCATACCTTGCTGGTTTGTTGTTATTGTTTTTAAGGTCAATGCTTTCAAGTTAGCTCAGGTGACTAAACAAACAAAAAAGAAGTTAATGAAGACAAAAGGCCAAAAAATTGTTTATAATGTATTAAGATTGTTAAATATACTCAGAAGGCATATATGTAGCAAGGCTGAGACTGTAAAATGCTGGCACATTAATACACAATTCCTTGATCTTTACAATTGTTTGAGCAGTTGTCACATGTATTATTTCAACTAGAGTTCACAATATTCTTGTGATGCACAGGGCAGGTATCACAAGGCTTGGTGGGAAGAACAACACAAGGCTTGGTGGGAAGTATTATCCAAGGGATGATTTTTGATGAGAATCCAAAGTATTAAAGGGCCCAGACTAAAGTGGAAAAATCAGAATCAAATATCAGAACCTTTTATAATTAAAGTACACAGAAACTATCACACACAACTAGAAACCCATTGTATACTATAATGAAGACATGTTCAAAGAAGACTTACATTTGTTCCTTCCTTAACCTCTGTTTTGGTTTCCTTGTTGGGATCTTGGGTTTTAGTAGCAGCTTTGGCAGCAAACATTCCCATAATTCCTTTGGGCTGCTGAGGAACCTGTTTGGAGGCAGGTGGGCTATGACCATTGGTAGACAATTCATTATTGACTTGTGTCTCACTGGATGCCTCAGGATCTGACTGCTCAAACTTTCTGGAAGAGGAAGATTCTGTAGGAGGTCTGGGAACTGCTGCTGCACACTGAATGGCACTAAACCTTAGGATAGAAATGATCCATGTCAGTATCAAACCTTATTTTCAAACTTTTGCTTTTTTAATGTAATACCTTCTACCCTAATATAAAAGTAAGATATACATCTACTTAACAACAGAGCGAGGACTGGAATCTTCTAATTCAAGAGTAAAATGACAGCAAACAATAATAAAATATTTAGTAATTTTACCACTGGTGAAAACCAAGTGGTTATCCCTTGAAGACATTCCTCTTATAGAGCTAGGCATTCAATAAACATTGATGGAATAAAAACTAAAAGCTTTAAATATTAACAAGTTTCCTGGCAACTCTTTTTGCCAGAATGGATCGTGCTTTAAAACATAGAGGAAACAGGGAACAGAGCCACTGGCTTTTATAACTTATCCTTTAGTCATTTGTTCCTAATTTCAGTAATACCAACTTACAGCACCAGACAAGTAATTATGCAGAAGGTCAAGCAAAGACACTAGTGAATAGTTTGTATGGCATGTTAAAGGGAACATTATTCTTCTCTTATTCTCTGATCTCTGTTGATTATGCCAGTTTCACATATATCCTTAATGGAACATTCTGCAGTGAATGGATAAGCATTTAGCCTTCTTGGTTTCCCAGCATTTTCTAACAAAGGAAAACATTTAACTTCCCCTGCTTTTGCTTATTGGAGGAAGGAGACTTCATTATAGTTGTTCATCTTAAACTTCAGGCACCCAACACTTGGCCAGTGTGAGGCAGCACACTGCAGGAAAGACACTGGAAAAAAGTGGCTGAGAGGGAGATTCTATCTTCTCCCCCTTCCTTAGTGTATCTCTTTGGGGCGGGAAATGGGGGATGATTCAGAAAATACATGGAGAGAAGAATTATCAGAGATCACCAGCACAACAACACTGACTGCTAGAATAACTGGCCTAAGAGGGGGGAAAATATCCTTGACCTAACATTTCATTTCAGACTGAACAATCCCCAAACTACAAAACCTTCAACTGACTCATTATGGTCCACAGGAAAAAGCCTTTCATTAATCCAATCTCTGCTGTATTGGAGCAAGGACAGATGGAAACAATTTACTTTTACCCCTGGTCTTCCTCTCTGGCCTGCAAGGCTTCCATGTATGTGGGAAAGAGCCATGTTTTATTTCATTGTCAGCACCTAAGGTTGGCCCCACAACAACTCTTTCCCTGTTGCGTCTGCATTCCACACCTTAGGGTCAGGACCGGTTATTGGCAATGAGGAGGAGACCATGTTAGGCTGGGACCAGGTCCGAAAAGAGAAGAATCTGTGCTCAATTCTGAAACTGCTATTTTCTTCCTGTTACAGCATTTCTTAAAATATACAACTCATGAGTCAGATCTCAGGTGGCCCATAATTTTCAGGACGAAAGACAAACTTCTTTACTAGAGATAAATTCCTCACATTTTCTACCAAGGATACTGCAAGTATTTAGGTAAGGTTTCACTGAAGTGCTTCTTGTTACCATACTTCTACTTGTCCTGTTTGTTTTAATGGGCCCAAAGCAAACTGCATTTTCAATCTCCAACTTATTACTCTTGCTGGCTTGTGTCATGCTATGACAAGATTGTAATGTGTGTAGATAGATAGAAAGATAGATAGATAGATAGATAGATAGATAGATAGATAGATAGATAGATAATATATTTTACAGAAACCTATCAGGGGTATTAATGTTCTCTTGAACTTAATAGTTACAAGCCCAGATTCACTGGGCTTTTAAGTTATATTCTCTGGCTACGTAATTATTTATTAATATTTAAATGGACATTATACTCCTAAGTCCTGAACTGAAAGAACTATTATCTACAACTAATTGCTTTTTGTTCAACATTTTTCTATTCAACAATTGTTTATTGAAGGCTTACTATGTCCCAAGCACCATTTGATGTATGCGGAGAACAAAATGATTCCTACTCCTGTGAGATTCATAAGTGACAATTCCACATGGTGGCAATTCTGTATTCTATTTTTCCTCCAGGACTATCTCTGTCTGCTATTTTGTCTCCCCAAGTGTCTTCAGCCTTTCCTCCTCCAGGACTCTCTTCCAACAATATAACTTCAAATCATATTCAACTTGAAAACTGTACATATTCTTCTTCCAGTCTCCATCTCTTTAGTCTCTTCCCTCTTTCTCTCCATTTCAGTCACATTTTCTGTGCTGCCTCTCTTCTTCATGTCCTTGTTTCTTCAGCTGATTAGATGTACTTCCTCAATGGAAATGCTTTTCCTAAGGCCATCACTGCACTCAACAGGCACTTCTCAGTTCTTGTTTTCCCTGGCTTCTCAGAAGCATTTGACCATGTCCAGCAGTCCCTCCTTCATCAAGCTCTTCTCTTAGCTTATGGAACCCCACACACTTTTGTGACTTTCCTATTATCTGTGGCTGCTAACTCTTGGGTCCCTGTCTTTCAGCCCAACCTTAAAAAACTGCTATCACTGCTGGGCACCAATGGCTCACACCTGTAATCCTAGCTATTCAAGAAGTTGAGATCTGAGGATCCCCATTTGAAGCCAGCATGGGCAGACAGATCCATGAGACTTTAGCTCCAATTAACCAGAAAAAGGTGGAAATAACAGTGTCACTCAATTGATAAAGCACCAGCCTTTGAGAAAAAAGCTAAGGGACAATGCCAGGCCTTTAGTTCAAGTCCCAGCACACACACACAATCATTAAACAGTGTTTACCAGGATGGAAGAGAGATAGCCTCTTCAACAAATGGTGCTGGCAGAATTGGCTATCCACATTTAGAAAACTGAAACTAGATCCTTTTTTTTTTTTTTTGTCGGTCGTGGGGCTTGAACTCTGGGCCTGGGCGTTGTCCCTCAGCTCTTCAACTCAAGGCGAGCGCTCTACCACTTGAGCTACAGCGCCACTTCCTGAAACTAGATCCTTATATATCACCCTGCACCAGAATCAATTCAAATGGATCAAAGACCTCAATGTAAGACCAGATACCATGAGAATATTACAGGAAGGGGTAGGGGAAATACTAGCACTCGTAGGTACTGGTTGAAACTTTCTAAGATCCAGAATCACAACAAATCAAAGAAAGACTAATAAATGGGACCGCATCAAACTGAAGAGTTTCTGCATGGCAAAGGATAAATTTAGCAAGATAAAACAGAAAGCCCACAGAATCGAAGAAGCTCTTTATTAGCTATGCATCAGACAAGGGCCTCATATCTAAAATATATTTAGAGCTCAAAAAACGAACTAGCCTCCCCCCCAAAAAAAACCCCAAATCCTCAAAGAAACAAAAGCCCAATTAATAAGTGGGCTAATGACTTAAAGAGAGACTTCTTAGACACATGAATATGTTCAACATCTCTGGCCATAAAAGAAATGCAAATCAAAACAACATTGAGATGATACCTCACCCCAGTTAAGAATGGCCATTATCAAGAAAACTAACAATAACAGATGCTGGCCAGGATGTAGCCAAAAGGGAACACTGCTACATGATGAGTGGGAATGTAAACTTGTTCAATCACTCTGCGAAGCAGTATGGAGGTTCCTCAAATGACTAAACATAGAACTTCTCTATGACCCAGTAATTCCACCACAAACAAGGCCACACTGAAGCCACCAGCACAACCATGTCGACTTCAGCATTATTTATCATAGCCAAAACATGGAATCAACCCAGGTATCCCTCAGTGGACCAGTGGATCAAGAAAATGTATAGACACAATGGAATTCTATGCTTCCATCAGAAAAAAATGATATTATTGTACCATTCATAAGGAAATGGAAAGACTTTTAGAAAAAAAGTATATTATATGAAGTAAGCCAGACCCCAAGAAACATAGTTTGCATAGTTTCCCTCACTTGTGGTAACTAGAATGTGCCTACAAATCTATAAATAAACCCAATGGATGGTAAAAGACAAAAAAAATTACATTTGGACATGATAAATTATACAGGCCTCTAAACATTCACATAGTGAGACCAAAGGAGGATATTCTTAGGAAAGGCTCACAAAGGCTCAATAGTTATGTGTATATAATCACATATCCAATACCACTCACTACTGCACTGCAGACAACTGTCATTTCCTCCCTGGAACTCTTCTCCCTTATGATCTTGCTTCCTTTCTGCTCTACTTTTTTTTTTGTCAGTCGTGGGACTTGAACTCTGGGCATGGGCACTATCCCTGCATTCTTCAGCTCAAAGGAAGCACTCTACCACTTGAGCCATAGCACCACTTCCGGTTTTCTAGTGGTTTATTGGAGAGAAGAGTCTCATGGACTTTCCTGCCCGGACTGGCTTTGAACTGAGATACTCAGATCTCAGCCTCCTGGGTAGCTAGGATTACAGGCGTGAGCCACCGGCGCCTGGCCTCTCCTCTACTTTTTAACACTGCAGCCAGTCACCTTTTTAAAATGTGGTTCTTATAATTTCATCCCATTTGCTTAGAAATTTTCAGTGGCTCCTAGTGCTCTCAAGATAAAGTCTCCATTCCTTATCTTAGTAGTGAGAGCATCACCTGACTCCAATCTCCAGAGTATCCCTTACCTCTCACTAAGTTCCAACTGTACGTATTAGCATCATTTCCTCTTTTCTGTTTCTACTCTCCCACCTTTTTGTCTGGTTATTTCTATTGGGCCTTCAGGCCGTTTAGCTGTCCTAACTGTTAAGAAATCTCTGTCTTGCTACCTCATTATACTCATCCAGAAGTGGGGTAAGTGCCCACTAGCCAAAATCTTCCCACACTGTTCCTCCAATTAGAACGCTGCCACCCAGACTCTCAGTGCTCAGAATCTTGGGAGCAAGTGACTAGGCCATATTCTCTACAGTGTGAAACATAAGTATTCATAAGATAGTTGCTGAATAAATTCCAATTACCACATGTGTTTTAGTAGGTACTCATATGTTTAGAGCACTGAATTGAACCTTTAATACAATCCCACAAAATAGGCACTATTATATCTAATTTGAAAATAAAGAACCAAAGCTCAGAATTTCAGGAACAGGTTTTTGAAGGACAACATTTGAACTTGCTCCTGAAGGATGGGTAGAATTTACACAAGCAGAGACTGGGGGAAGGGAGGAGTGGGGCACAACAAGCATTTCTGGTGGTGGTGACAGGATAAATACATGAGAAATAGATTTATGGGGAGTTCACTGGGGTTTTCAATATGGGTTGTGACTGCTATTTTTCACCTTATGATGTACTAATAAAACATGTGTCTTACTGCAAGATAAATGGGGTTTTACTAGACTTGGCATTCACTCTGAAGAGGCAGCCATTGTATAAACATCTTACAAAATCAATTTGTAAAGAAGCCCACAAGGAACACTAAGGAGCTTACTTGCTACAGTTCTGCAAGTTGCTTTTAAGGATGTCATAGTCGGTATTGAACAGAGGCCCACTGTCCTTTAGCATAGCTTTCTGGATGCTGTACACATGGATGCTGGCAGTCACAGCTAGCTTGGACTTCACTGCTACAAGTCAACAGGAAAAACAGTCTGTTAATACACAACTTCATGGCATGTGGGACTTTAACAAGAAACCCTTCAACATTAAAACCATTTGCAATCTGCAGTGGTCTAAAAAACTCTAAAAGGCCAATGCGCAACATATACTCTTCTGTCTGCAATGAGGACATGATGTCGAGGTAGGTGGTGATGAGTCATTTCTAAGCACAGCACCTGTAAGAGTATCACTCATCCAGTGGACACTCAGCAAATACTGATGATTGATGATGACTACGATGATTTTTTTTAACCAGTTAAATAGAACTAAATAATCTCTCCTGAGAGGACTCATTTATGTATCCTAAATTTAGTTTGCCCAGGTTGGCATAGTAGATAATCACTGCAGAAATCTTTGCCTCTCACTGTGGAAATTCATCCCAAGATGGGATGAATATATGAAGAGCATAAGAATCCTGATTCTTTCTTTATACATTTTTTATTGTAAAAATATTGTACAGAGGGGTTACAGTTACATGAGCAAGGTAACGAGTACATTTCCTAACAAGCATTGTTGCCTCCTCCTTTGTTTTTTCCCTACCATCCCTTCCCTCCCACCTCCACAACTACATTCCCCCCACACCTAAATTGTAAAGTTTGTTTTTTAACATAGTGTCTTGTACATCTCATTGTTACAATGGGTCAACCTGTATCCCTACTTAAGCATTTTGTTTTTTCCCATCCCTTCCCCAAATTAGAGAAGTGTATACACAAGATTCAGGGCACGACATCAAATACAGTGAAAACAGGGGTTATACTGTGGAGGAGGAACATACAAAGAAACAAAAAAAAAATCACATGGTACATTATAAATACATTAGAAACAATAGCAAGAAAAGACCACTTGTGTCCCTATCTTGGGGTTCATTTCGCTTAGCATCATCTTATCTGGTCATATGTACATAGCTTTTGACCTTTTCTGCTTGTTCCAGACATATACTAGTTATTGTAAATAAGGGAAACCATGGGACCTATGTTTATTTGGGCCTGGTTTATTTCACTTAATATAATTTTTTCCAAGTCTTTCCATTTCCTAACAAATGGGGCAATGCCATGCTTTCTGGTGGAAACATAGAATTCCATTATATATATATATATGTATACACATATATATATATATATATATATCATATTTTCTTGATCCATTCCTCTACTGAGGGGTATCTGAGTTGGAAGAACCCTGATTCTTATGAAATGTTTTTGAATTGGATATTTGTGCACGCGCACATATGCCAGTTCTGGGGTTTGAACTCAGGGCCTAAGCACTGTCACTGAGCTTTTTTGCTCAAGGTTAGACTCTTCTTCTACATCTCCACATTCAGTTTTTTTAGTGGTTAACTGGAAAGAGTCTCACAGACTTTCCTGCCTTAGCTGGCTTCTATCGGAGATCCTCAAATCTCAGCCTCCGGAGTGGCCAGTATTACAGGTATGTACCACTGGCATCTGACCTGAATTGGATTTTTAAACAATAGAGCAGCAGTAGCACTAATAGTCTTAAGTCAGCAGGACTTATTTTAAAAGTCTAACTTTCAGGAAAATATTCTTTTTGAACAACCTGTTATGGAACACAAGACACTACTACCTGTTGATGAAATGTCCTTTGTGGTATGATGGTTTTTGTATGTCTGTCATGAGTTCTGTCATCCTGTGATAGAAGTGCTTTACAACTATCAGCAGTTTTTGGCCCTAAAAATGGGAAGTTAATCAGATGCAGTATCATATTTTATTTAACATATTTCTGAAACTAGTAATAAAATAGGGTTCCTCAGTTATAGCTCAGAAGGTTAGGGATGGTATATAGTGTTCCTACATAAATGCCATAAGAGGAAAGAAGAAAGACTTGCTACACTGCTAAAATACTTACCTTCCAATTTATCTTCTCTCACTACTGCAACCTTGTGGCACTACAAAGAAATAACATTTTGTTAATGTTTAAAGTACTAAATTTGGCAATTAGGAAGATTCCCTGCCCCATAATCCAATTGTGCTTAGATATGAAATTAGGTAAACATTGAGTACCATTAAAATGTTAAATCAGGCGCTGGTTGCTTATATTTTTAATCCTAGCTATTCAGAAGGCTGAGACCTGAAGATTGTGATTTAAAACCAACCTGGGCAACGAAGTCCACAAAATTCTAATCTCCAATTAACTAGCAAAAAGCCAGAATTGACAGCATGGCTCAAGTGGTAGAGTGCCAGCCTTGAGTGGAAAAGCCAACCAAGAGCATGAGTCCCTGAATTCAAATTCCAGTACCAGCACATACACAAAAAAGTTACAGATTAATAAAGCCAAATACCATTTATAATCTCAGTAAGATTAAAACAAGAGTACAGATGTCAATACCATAATACAGCATCTCAAATCAGTACATGATTTAGTGAGAATGCTTCTGTAACTCTACAGAACTAGAAAAAGACTGGATCTGTCTCACACCATTCTGAATGGATCAGAATTTACTTGCAAATCAAAGTAAAAAGATAATATATCCAATAGAAGAAAACAGGTGCCTTCTTCTATAACATGAGATAACCCAAGAATAAGGAAATATTTCCTACATGTAATTCAAAATCCAGAAATAATTGAAATAATCTATAAGAACTAACAACTTTTGGATGAAAACAAAAACTAAACAAAGTACAAAACTAAATGATGAAATGAGAAAAACATTTCCAACTTCTATCACAAAAGGTTGTAAAAATAAACAGATTAAAGACAAACATTTTTGAAAAAATGGACAGGAACAAACTAATCCTAGCAAAGGAAAGCAAATAGCCCTGAAATATGTATGCATGTGCTAGACAGAAACATATTGGTGAGAATAAAAGTATCTGGTAATACCCAATGAAAGTACATATACAGGGCTGGGAAGGTGGCTCAGTGGTAGAGCGCTTGCCTTGCATGCCTGAGGCCCTGGGTTCGATTCCTCAGCACCACATAAGCAAAAAGAAAAAAAGCCGGAAGTGGCGCTGTGGCTCAAGTGGTAGAGTGCTAGCTAGCCTTGAGCTGAAGAGCTGAGGGACAGCGCCCAGGCCCAGAGTTCAGGCCCCACAACTGGACCTCCCTCCCCGCAAAAAAAGTACATATACATTTATCCTTTGACTTAGCCATTCTACCTCTAGAAATATAATTCTAGAACAGATTAAAAACACCCAAAACCCATACACACTAAACTATTTACTATAGCACTATTGTTAACAGCCAAAGATTACAAATAAACTCAGAAAGGGACTACTAAATCAACTAAGGTGAATCTATCATTATAGTCCTATGTGGCTATAATAAATATTTCTATAATTTCTCAAATAATAAAAATATAAAACAGTAAAATAGATTACACAGTAAATGTTTATCTAAGAAAAAGGGTAATGTGAATATATAATTGTTTATGTTAAAAATATACACAATAACAAAATAAAAGAGAAGATAGCCAGTGGCTCAGGCCTATAATCCTACTCAGGAAGCTAAGATCTGAGGATCACAGTTCTAAGCCACCCTTGGCAGAAGTCTATGAGACTCATCTCCAATTAACACCCCTTCCCCCCCCCCAAAAAAAAGTCAGAAGTGAAGATGTGGCTCAAGTGGTAGAACATTAGCACTCACCTTGAGCACAAAAGCTCAGAGACCTTGCCCAGGCCCTGAGTTTAAGCACCAACACCAGCCTAAAACGAAAAACAAAAAACAAAAACTACTAGGGACCTACAACTACTAGGGCACCAACAAATCAAAGGCAAAATGGAAAAGGCCTCATTTAATACTTATAGATAATACATTGGTAGATTAACTACAATTAGTGTTTTAGCAGGACCTGACTATAGACAAGGAACTGTGAATATATACACATACATTTTTGTTTGCTTTTTTTGACTGTACAGAGCCCAGACTTTGAACTCATTTCTGCTGTCTAAGCCTCCGGAGTGCTGGAATTATAGGTGTGCACTCACATACCTGGCTATAAGAAAAAAACCTTAAAATTCATTTTAATAATTGTATTATCATTAAAACTACTGGTTTTGCCTGGCACCAGTATCTCACACTTGTAATCCTAACTACTCAGGGGATTTAGATCAGAGAAGAGTGGTACAAAGTCAATTAGGACAGAAAAACTCCACGAGACTCCGTCTCCAATGTAACAGAGTGTCACACTGGAGACAAGGCTCAAATAGTAGCATCCTAGCCATAAGAAAGCAAGATCAATGCCCTGAGTTCAAGTCATAGCACAGGCACAAATATATGTATACATTTGGCTTTTCTTACCCAAGCATTTAGCTAAAACATATATATTAGGAGCCACCAATATTTCTAAGATAAAAGAGCAGTATAAAAATCAAGTAACTTGTTTCAAAATTAGCCATAAATTTGAATTATGACTATATGTTTTCTCTTAAAAAGAACTGCACACTAAAAGAACCTATAAGAAAAAGAGTATTAAGAACTAATCACTCAAAAACCATGCAGACCTTCAGTAAGAGCTCTGGAAATAAGAGTTTATACCTACAGAGAAAAACTAGACAGTCCGGTGTGCCTAAGCACTGCTATAAGATACTAAAAATGTACACAAACAACAGAGCAGAAAAGCCAGCTTGCTGGTGCCTAACAATACAAACCAGAGGGGTGCTCTGATTCTGGGTTCCTGATAATAAGGTAAACACAAGCATAAGGTCAGCATCATAAAACCAGAGCTGGCAGGGAGTAAATCCTTTGAACTTATAGACAGTATTAAGACAGAGTCTTGCTATGGAACCCAGACTGGTCTTGAACTGTTATCCTCCTGTCTACACCTTCTGTATGCTGAAATTACAGATGGGTTGCTCAGCGTCAGTTAACACCACAAAAAAATCAAAACATCACCATATTGTTATTTTAAAAATATATATATTTGAGGGTGATACTGCCCAAAAGGAAATGCATTCATCATCTGATTTATGTAACTGTAAACCCTCCGTACATCACCTTTATAATAACAATTTAAAAAAAAGAAAAAAGTATATAAGTATATTTGAGGCTAGAGGCATAGCTCAAGTAGTAGAGTACTTGCCTAGTATGGACAAGGTCCTGAGTTCATTCCCTGGCACCACACAGAAGAATAAAATCCATTCTGATTTGTTAGAAATGAGTCAATATCAACATTAGAAGAATGTACACATAAAAAAAATCAATGTTTTATCATCTCTAGTGAATTAAGAATGCAGACAATGATAAAAATCAATCTCAGCTAAACATTACTACAGGAAAAGCTAATGAGAAACTCATAATAGAGAGATCAGGTTGATAACCTCTAACCTAAATCACAAAAAGAGGCTTAAACAAACATTGCCTTGCAACTTTCCTGAATGAGATTAGAGAGAGGTTCTGCTTTCTGCAGTTAAGTATTTTTTATAAATAATCCTATCAGAAAAATAAAAATTATTTTTATTAAAATAAATCCATACCAAGCCTATAGTGCTCTTTTCCTTTTTAGAAAGAAACATTAAAACTTTAATTAGAAAAACTAAAACAGGGGCTGGGAAGGTGGCTCAGTGGTAGAGCGCTTGCCTTGCATGCCTGAGGCCCTGGGTTCGATTCCTCAGCACCACATAAGCAAAAAGAAAAAAGCCGGAAGTGGCGCTGTGGCTCAAGCAGTAGAGCGCTAGCCTTGAGCTGAAGAGCTGAGGGACAGCGCCCAGGCCCAGAGTTCAGGCCCCATGACCAGACCCAAAAAAAGAAAAACTAAAACAAAAATAAAATCTGCTATTATGAGAAAAGCATAGGTTAGCAACCATACTTGATAGGCAATTCCAGTGCTTCTTGGTGAGGCTGTAAGGAGTGCCACAAGTCCATGTGGTTCCAACAACAGCAACCTCATTCTTAATTTTTTCTTTTCTCAGATCAGTCAGGGGGCTTGAACTCAGGGCCTAGGAGCTACCCTTGAGCCTTTTTACTCAAGACTAGTACTATACCACTTTGGGCCACAGCTCCACTTCAGGTTTTCAGGTGATTAACTGGAGGTAAAAGCCTCAAGGACTTTCCTGCCTGGGCTAACTTCAAACTGTGATCCTCAGATCTCACCTTCCTAAACAGCTAGTATTACTGGCATGAGCCACCAGTACCTGGCTTAATGTAATTTTTATATGAGGAGTCCAATAAAGACTGTGTTTGAAAAAGCACTTTGAGCAGAATTTAAATGTCCTCTTACTTAAAAATAGAAGGTACTTCATAAGCAAGCCACAGCTTTCTACCTTTTGCTATATTTGGGTCTTAAGTGGTCCTCAAATGCCCATGTGTTAAAGGCTTAGGCCCTGGCTTGGCATTACAGAAACTGTAAGACATGGGGCCTAATGGGAGGTCTTAGGTCATTGGGAGCATGTCCTTCAAGAGGACTACAGAGCTCTAGACTCTTTCTCTCTCTTTTGCTTCTAGCCATGAGATGAAGGTGTCCTCTGGCATGTCTCTTACCATAATGCCTCAATACATAGAAGCAATGGGGCCAATGAACCATGGATTAAAACTTCTAAAATCCTGAGCCAAAATAAACCTTTCTTCCTTTTTTTTTTTTTGGTCAGTCGTGGGGCTTGAACTCAGGGGCTGGGCACTGGCTCTGAGCTTTTTTGCTCAAAGATAATACTCTAACACTTTGAGCCACAGCACCACTTCTGGTTTTCTGGTGGTTAGAAATAATAGTCTCACAGACTTTCCTGCCTAGGCTAGCTTCAAACCATGATCCTCAGATCTCAGCCTTCAGAGTAGCTAGGATTACAGGCATGATCTACAAGTGCCCATATCCTTTCTTCCTTTTAAGTTGATTATCTGTTATTTTATTATAGAAACAAAAAGCTGACTAATAAAACAAGATTACAGGTTGTACAGAAAAATGTGTTCTGGAATAAAATTTTTATGCACTTTTAGGAACTCACGCAAAAATCCTAAGTCTCAAATATCAACCATTAAAGATAATCTAAGAATCCCAAATTAGGAGTTCTTGTCATATCAGAGTAAAATCTACATTATTCTAAAACATAAATTACTAATTTTAGATCCTAGTCAGAACTCTTAAGTTTTTAAAATGTTAACATGTATTTTTCTTTCAAGTTCTCAAAGACTGGTGACCCCTGCCAAAAAAAAAAAAAAATCATAGCAGGTTATTAGTCCAAAAACCCAAATCGAAAATTCTCCAAACTGAAACTTTCTGAGCACTGATATGATTCCCAAAATGGAAATCACTTTGGAAACTTTTGTTTCATGCATAAAATAATTAAAAATACTGCATAAGACTAACTTCTGACTATGTGTACTAGATATGTGTATGTGTATAGTATGTGTTTGTATAAAGCTTAAATGAATTTCATAATTAAATTTGAGTTCCATCCCCAAAGTATTTCATTATGTATATGCAATACTTTCAAATCTAAAACAAATCCAAAATTTGAAACACTTCTTATAAGGAATATTTCAGATATGAGATAGCCAAGCTGTTCTTTAAAGGAATACGATGGTTCCCAAGGAAAACTACACTTATTTGAAGATTCTAAAGAAAGAGAAAGGAGTTCCTTAAACTCAGGAACAGAAAAGATGTCATGCAGTTGCAAACTGAAGACATCTACTTCAGAATGATACAGGAAGAGATTTCTGATGGCAAGTTTATCTGAGAGTTTCAGGTATATAATACAAATGATTCCACACTTGTAAATACCTCTGATTATCATTTGGCTTACCAAAAGCTTATGAAGAAAAAAACTGATGGATCGGATCCCACCAGCAGTTTGCTTCTAAATTACTAAATTAAGATTACAGTTTTAGCTGTATGCTGGTGGCTCCTGCCTATAATATCAGCTACTCAGGAGGCTGAAATCTGAGGATCACGGTTCAAGGCCAGCCCAGGCAGAAAAGTCCATGAGACTCTTTATCTCTAATAAACTACTCAGAAAAAGCCAGAAGTAGCACTTTGGCTCAAGTGGTAGAGTGCTAACCTTGAGCAAAAAAGCACAGGGACAGCACCCATGCCCTGAGTTCATGCCTTAGGATCAGCACCAAAAAATAAAAAAATAAAATGATTATTTTTAAATCTCACATTTGGGGTACTTTCTAAAAATAAACCCAGGGATGAGAGTTCAGTTCATTGACAATGCATGTACCAAGCTCTGGATTCAATTCCCAGTATTTAAGTCAGGGTTTTTAATTTGTAATTTTTTGGGAAAGTCTGAAGAGAAGAACAAAACACATACTAGCAGATCTCTGAGAAGGAACCTGATCCTTGAGCCAAGACTCATGGGATAGGTGGTGGTAGAAGGCTTTAGAAAGTTGAGAACATAATGCCACACTTTGGGAGGAAGCAGGGACGAGGTGGGGGCAGGGAGGGTGCGGGAGGGGTAATCAAAGTCACCAGGGCTCACTGGTGTGGGATAGAACAAACCCTCTACAGGGAATGACCTCTGTGTTCCTGAAAGGTAAAGTCAGCAGACCAAGAAAGCTTTATTGAGATGGATGAAAATGCAGCAGGTGTCCGTGTTGACAGATTAACAGATACCAAATAGGATAATAATGTAAAAAGAAGAAGCAGGAGAATAAAGATGCTCCTAACTATACTGCATTAGCTAAGTCCTGGGGCTAAAACCCCAGTCTGTCAGCAACTTAAGCTACAAAGCTACCAAAGTAAGCATTCAAAATTATAGGCCAGGCACAGTGACTCATATCTATAATCCCAGCTATTCAGGAGGCAGGGACTGGGAGAGTGGCAGTTCAAAGTCAGCCTGAGCAAAAGTTAGCAAGAACCCATCTCAACTGAACCAGGTTTGGTGGTGCATGCCTGTAAACCCGGTTACATGTGAGGCATAGGTAAAAGGACCGTGGTCCAATTTTGGGCCCAAATGGGAGCCCATATCTGAAAAATAATTAAAGCATATCCAGTTCATATCCCAGTTCAACTTTCTTAATACTGAATCTGTGTTTTGCTCTCCCCTGGATATTAGGTTGTAACTATTTTTAGTTCATTATAAAATTCTGAAAACTTACAGAATGTCCATTCTGAATAAGACTGCCAGACACCAAATAAGTGACATGCAGTTGGGCTCCTGAATTTTCCTTCCGTTTCCTTTCAACATAATCATACAGCATCCTGTTCCAAAGAAGGGAGAATTCATTAGTAAGAATCTCATCAACTCTTAATTTATGACTTAAAAGTTAGATATATGAAATCTGATATGGCCAGGAATTTGACTTAGTGATAGAGTAATTGCCTAGCATGCATAAGGCCCTGGGTTTGATTCCTCAATACAACATAAACAGAAAAAGCTAGAAGTGGCACTGTAGCGCAAGTGGTAAAGTGGTAGCCTTGAGCAAAGAAGCTCAGGGACAGTGCCCAGGCCCTGAGTTCAAGCCCCAGGACTGGCAAAAATAAATAAATAAATCTGATAGTCCATTAAATTTTCTAAACACCAGAACTTTTGTTCAGTCTATACAGATACACATACATACATATGTGTGTATATATTATGTGTATATATATATATATATATATAAAATATATATATATATATATATATATTTTTTTTTTTTACAAAAGATAGACTTTAGGTGAAACATTGAGTCTGAGTTTGCAGTGATACAATAAGTAGTAAAATAAAATAATGACCGGCCAAGAGAACCAGAGCCTGCATGAGAACAGTGGCAATGATATATAATGGACATGATACCAAATCCACAGTAAATTAATTAGCTAGCTATAGAATCTAGTATAAAATAATTTTTCTAGATCTCTTAGTATCTTGAGATATTTAACAATAAAGTTAGACTAGACTCAATTCTCCTAACCTGGGATTCCTATTACCCTCTCTCCCCCTTCAAAGTATTAGCAAATGGAGATGGGGGGCTTAGTTTTTTTTCCCCCAGTACAGTGGCTTGAACTAAGGGCCTTGGTGCTTGAACTAAGGGCCTGAGCTTCTCTTGCTCAAGGATGATACTCTACCACAAGAGTCACAGCTCCACTTCCAGCTTCTTTGGTAGTTTATTGGAGATAAGAGTCTCACAGACTTTATTTTGCTCGGACTGGCTTTGAACTGCACTCCTCAGACCTCAGCTTCCTGAGAAGCTAGGATTAGAGGTATAAGCCACCAGTGCCTGACAATATGACTTTCTTGTTTGATTCAAAGTTTTCCACAAATTCTAAGACTTTGGTACTCCAAAACATTAAGGTTTATGGTTAGAAGCCAGCCCATATGAGACTCTACCTCCGAAATAACCTACATAAAGCAGGGTCAGAGGGATGACTCAAGTGATAGTGTCAGCTGGGAAAGCAACCCAAGCAGATGTGGGCCCTGAGTTCAAACGCAGTATTGCCCCCCCCAAAAGAAGAAAGCAATAAACCTATTATGTTTACAATCACCTATGTCTATTCTGTAATTCTAATTTTATAATTACTCAGATTTAATTACTAATAACTACAGAATGTAAGTTTACTTTTACTACCCAGTTTCCAGAATATTCATTAGATAACCAACATTAAATGCAAAAATTTGCTTTTAGTAAAATCCTTTCATTCATTTTTATCCCTCTCATCCAACAAATATCAGAAGTTGATTCTCTCCAATAACTTAAAAGTTTAACAGCAAAAAGAGACCTATCATTTTATTCTGCCAAGGATAGCAAAAGAAAAAAATTTAAATATCAAGAGAAATATAACCTAAACTGCTAATCACTCTCTTCCTGAATTGTCCCTTAGCTTCTGAGTCTCCTGGTTCTCCTCAACTGCCTCTGCACTCCTTCCTGCAGATTTCTCTCCTCCTTTTGCTTAGCTGTAGCAGTGGCTTTAGCCATCTTTTCCCTCTGTTACTGAGTAGCCATCTAGTTTATCTGGGTCTTGAGGGGGTTTTCTGGAACATGAACTATGCTTGGTCATCTACTTCTATGTGTTCTCCTTGGTCTGTTTTATTCATGTTGATGGCTTCATCCATCCCTGACATCATCATCATTTGCTCAAATCACCAAGCCAGAAACTTGGTGTCATTGCTCTGAATGTCTTCCTATCCAGTGAGTGGCCAAGTCTCAATCAGGTCTTCCTCCTGAGTAATTCTTATCTCCATGACCCTTGAATCTCCTGACTGGGCGATTCCAATTCCAAGTGTTAAGTCCCCTTCTATCCCTTCCTTTTCCACTGTGGCCACAGTGATGTTTTAAAAATGCAAATCAGGTCATTTAGTCAGTACCATTTCCACCGTGTCCAAAATTCTAAACATTCTTAAGAGTGTTAAAAAAGGACTGGGAAGATGGCTCAGTGGTAGAGTGCTTGCTTTGCATGCATGAGGCCCTAGGTTCGATTCCTCAGCACCACATAAGCAAAAAGAAAAAAAAAAGCCGGAAGTAGTGCTGTGGCTCAAGTGGTAGAGTGCTAGCCTTGAGCTGAAGAGCTGAGGGACAGCGCCCAAGCCCAGAGTTCAGGCCCCACGACTGGACCCAAAAAAAAAAAGTTGTTTGCAACCACTAAATTTTGAGGGGATTTATTATCTGCAGCAATAACAAGCTGAGCAATGTGAACTAGATTAACAAAGTTTCGGCCTTCCAGGAGCATATATTCTAGTGAGAGAAGACAAGTATAATAAAAAGAAAATACCAGACAGTAATAAGAGTTATCAAGTGCTAGACAAATGGATACCTATATTGATACAAGTCAAATTGCAGTCTTTCCTTACACCAAGCATGAAAAAAATAACTCCAAATTATTCCTAGAAGACATGAGTAATACAAATTCCATTCCTCATTTAAAAATTGCCTTGAACTAATAATCGGAAAGTTTTAGTGTAGTCTAAATATGAATTTTTTAGTTTAGCAAGCATATAATCTGAAAAAAACTTGAATATAGTGACAATTAGCAATTATTAAAGAAATTAGCATGACATGGTGGCTCATTCCTATAATCACAACTAATCTGGAGGTAGATTGGGAAGACAGTGACTTGAGGTCAACCCAGGAAAAAAAAACAAAATTATCAGGACCCCCACCTCAATCAGTAAACCAGAAAGACTGGGCTGTGAAGGAAGTGGTAAAGCACTTCTAGCAATCACCAAAATAACAATAAAAATAATAATAGGAAGAGCTGGGCACTGGTGGCTCATGCTTGTAATCATAGCTACTCAGGAAGCTGAAATCTGAGAAGAGTGATTCAAAGCGAGCCCAGGCAGGAATGTGCTTGAGACTCTTACATCCAATCAACCATGAAAAAGACAGAAGTGAAACTGTGGCTCAAGTGGTAGAGCACTAGCCTTGAGCAAAACAGACCAGGGGCAGCACCGAGGTACTGAGTTCAAGACCCAAGGTGGGCATTAAAAACAAACAAAAAAAACCAACAATAATATGAGTATCACAGTAAAAGCCAAGCCAGGACTGAGCCTATCCAGTGACACCCTTTCAAAAATTAAAGTGAAAAGGCTAAAGTGATGGCTCAAGTGGTCGAGCACTTGCCTAGCAAGTGCAAAGCCCTGCATTCAAACACCAATACCACCAAAAAATAAAACTCCAAATAAACCATTTAATTAACTGTAAGAGAAAAAAATACAAAACCCTTAGGAAAAAAACACAAAAGGGGAGGCAGAAGCAGAAAGATCATGAGTTCCAAGCCAGCTTGGAGTACAGAGTGAGTTTAAGGCCAGCCTGGACAGCAAGTCCTTGAGTCAAAAGAAAAAGAAAGAAAGAAAAGAAAGAAAGAAAGAAAGAAAGAAAGAGAGAGAGAGAGAGAGAGAAAGAAAGAGAGAGAGAGAGAGAGAAAGAAAGAAAGAAAGAAAGAAAGAAAGAAAGAAAGAAAGAAAGAAAGAAAGAAAGAAAGAAAGAAAGAAAGAAAGGAAGGAAGGAAGAAAGAAAGGAAGGAAGGAAAGAGGGGGGAGAGGAAGGGAGGGAGAAAGGGGAGGGAGGGAGGGAGCAAGGAAGGAAGGAAGGAAGCATAGGTTTTCACAGCCTTCATAGGCTGCATCAAAAACATGAGCAACAAAAGAAAAAATAAGTAAGTTGGACACTTTCAACAATAAAAACATTTGTACTTCAAAGGACAGCAACAAGCAAGTGCAATGACCACCTATGGAATAAGAAAAAAATTTTGTAAATCATTTATCTGGTCATAATCTTATATCCAGAATATATAAACAATTCTTAAAACTCAACAGTAAAAAGACAATCCAATAAAAATTGGTGAAATTTTGGGATAGGTATTTCTTCAAAAATATATAAATGGCCAATAAACACATAAAACATCATTAGATATTAGAGAGAAACAAATCAAAATCAAGTCATGTACTGATGGCCATTCCTGTAATTCTAGCTGAAATCAGAAGGATCATGGTTTGAGGCTTACATAGGAAAAAAGCTCACAAGACCTCTTTTCAGGCACAGGTGGATGCAGTGGATACACCTGTCACCATAGCTTTATGAGAGCCTGAGGTCAAGAGGGCCCTGGTTCCACGTCAGAAATTGGCAGAAAATTGCAAGAAACCATGGAAGAAGGTGAGTGTGGTAGCATATACCCATAATCTCAGCTATTACAAAAGCCTAAAATAAGTGGATGATAGCCCAGACTCACACACAGCAGGAAATCAGACCCGTTTCAAAAATAATCTGTGCAACTGGCACTAGCGGCTAACACTCAGGAGGCTGAGATCTGAGGATTGCGGTGTTAAGCCAGCCCAGGCAGAAAAGTCCATGACATTCTTTCTCCAATAAACTACTCTGAAAAAGTTGAAGTGGTGCTGTGGTTCAAGTGGTAGAGTGCTAGTCTTGAGCAAAGAAGCTCAGGGACAGAGCTCAGGTCCTGAGTACAAGCCCCAGGACCAGCACAAAAAAATTACAATAAAACCCAGTAAAAATAGCCTGGGTATGGCAGTCCTAGAACTAGGAAAAAGTAGACAAGATAATGAATTATTATTTGGCCACAAAAAGGAAGTAGTGATAAATGCAATAACTTGGACAAACCTTGAAAATATTATACTAAGTGAAAGAAATCAGATATGCAAGAGTATATATTCTATGATTTCATACATAGTATAGGCAAATCTATAGACAAAAAGAAACTAATAGCCGTCTAGGGATAGAGTAGAGGTTGGAGAAATTATGATGAATGACTATTAATGGATATTTGATTTATTTTGGGGTGATGAAAATATCTGAAAATGACTATGGTGATACTTGCATGACTCTATAAATATATATATATTATCATATATAATATATATATACATTATATAAATATATTAAAAATCATTAAATTGTATGCTTTAAATGGGCATAGCATGTGAACTGTATTTCAATAAATCTATTTTCTTTTTTCAGTACTCAGGTTCCTGTGCTGGATAGGCAGGTACTCTTGAGCCATGCCTCTAGTCATTACTTCCAGGTACAGATAATAGTACAGAAGGAGTTTACATATTGTTAATATAGTGAGAAAGCAAGTGGTATGGGATGAAGTTGAGAAGTCAAGTAGGCATTTAGACACTGTAAATGCTATTAAAAACTACATGTAACCAGGCAAACTATAGGAAAATCATATTCATCTTTAGTTCATGTTAAGGAAATCCCAGTCCTAAATAAGCATCTTAAATTCCAACAGATGTATATAGTAACAGCTGCTTCACTTCATAAACATCTATAACTACAACTAATTTTTTAAAAAGTCACTTAAAAATTTCCATACCAAAAGTAACTGAGGGTTCTTGAATTTGGGTCAGAACTGGTTAGGGGCAATCTCAGTGAAAACCAGTGCGGCAGATAGGCAAAATGGCACAAGCCTGTAATCCTAGCTATTTAGGAGGCAAAAACTGTGTGATTGTGTGTATGTGTGGTGGTGGTGGTGGTATCATGGTTCAATATTGGCCTGGGTAAAAAGAGGTTCTCCAGCTCCATCTCAACCAATAGCTAAGTACATTGGTATAAGCTTATTGCCCAGTGACACAAGAAACCACAAGTAGGAAGATCAAACTCAGGCCAGTCCAGGCATAAAAATGTAAGACTTTACCTCAAAAATAATACAAAAAGGAGCTGGAGGTATGACTAAAGTGGTAAGATGTCTGCATAGTAAGTGTGAAGCTCTGAGTTCAATTTCTAGTATCAGAAACAAAAATAAGCCAGCAGTTTCAGGACCTGAAACTGCCAAATGAGTCCCCTAGATCTGTCTAAATCAACCCAAATAAAGACAAATCAAACTTCTCTAGAGCTCAAGGTCTTCCTAAGACTTGTCATGAAGCATGTTCTTATAACTCAAAAGAAATTTCCTCAGGCCATCCTTAGGAAGAAAGCAAACCAAAATGAGCATTTAACCTCCAAATGTGTCCTCAGCCAGTTCACCAAATCTTCTCCTTAGGACATAAACAATAACCTGTATCTTTTTTGCCTTGTGGTTTTTTTGTTTTTGTTTTTGTTTTTTTTCCCAGAGCTGAGGACCGAACTCAGGGCCTTGCGCTCGCCAGGCAGGCACTCTGCCACTGAGCTAAACCCCCAGCCCCAATAATCTGCATCTTTTAAAAAATATATTTTATTTTGAAGATGCTGTACAAAAATAATCTGCATCTTTAAGGTCAAAAAACTTGAAAGTTATTTCAAAAACTTGGCTTCTCCCTTTGCCCTCAAGTTTCAGCAAGGAAAAATAATATATCAAAACTCAACAAGGGCCATGCATTGCCATCCTAAACACTCTCTTTTAGCTTTACTTAGTTTTTCTGTCTTACACCATTATATAGCTTGTGCCAAACAGCTGATGCCCTCATGGAAACATATGAGTAACAACCAAGGATGGGCCTAAGAAGCACTCAAGAAAATATAGTGAAGACATAAGACAACAGACATAAATCTGAGTTATAAACTGGACTGACTAGTCCACTTAATAAATCTGAAATAACAAAGTGATGTTAACCAGAGGCAGGCCTACAAATAAATCCAGTGAATTTATCACCATACATTTGTATACAAGTCCACCCATCTCCTAAAAGAGGCAAAAAAAAAAAAAATCAAAGTAATAAAAACTAGTATTCTTTTCCAATTACCCAGGGAAACAGAAAAAAAAAAGTTGTCACCTAAGAAATTATGTGTGTAGTTAAAAACAATGAAAAAAAAAACTCATGTCATTAAAATTGGTAGAAAACTGGACTTACTGTTTTGCCTGATTAACATGAACCCCTAGAGTATAGCTCAGCCATTTGTATGTCACCTGCAAGAAAAAACAATTCCTTAAGTTTTATTGACTCCAGAGTGTAAATCAATCACAAGGGCCCACTCCTAAAAATTCTTTATTCTTAGATGATTATGCCTTATAATCAATGCCACTGTAGTTTAGAAGAAACATGTGAGCAAGTAGGACCAAAGTATTTCCTAAGAAGTTTGCTTAACAGACTAATAATGAAAAAGAATCTAAAAGGGCAAGCTGGATATACATACTTGGTATGCCCTGCTCTAAAATACTTCCAGTCAGGCACTGATAGCTCATCCCTGTAATTCTAGGTACCGAGTATCTAGGCCAGCCTTCGGGGAAGATCTATCTCCACATTAACTAGCAAAATGCCAGACTGGAGACATGGCTCAAGCGGCAGAGACTCAGCCATGCAAGACTTAGGACACGTAAGCATACAATTCCAATTCTAAACACTGAGCTTCCAACACAGAGAAGACTATTAAAATTTGGATAAAGGTGCCACACTTAGCATTAGTAGGAGACAAACTTAAGGTTCCAAAAGTCCCTATTCCTCACTAAGGACACATAAACGTGTTACTTGGTCCCTCTTGCTTTTATATCCCCTTCTCCGTAAGGACTACCCAGTGGGCCTGGGTGCACAAGTAGGCCCTCAATCATCCCAGTTTCATTTGCCCAGGCTGCCCACAGCCAGCCTCTCACTGGATTAGCCCAGCGCCAGGGGGCCGGCCACGCCTCAATCAATATTTAAATTTCCAGGAAGAGGAAATGGTCGTGATCTTGAACAACAGGTCTCACAACCGGGAAAGGACTGAGTCTGTCACTGCAGATTTGGGACTCTGGATGCCCGAGTGTCGGGACGTCTTAGAAAAATTCCCAGGCGACGCCCCTTCCCTCGGGCCTGACCAGAAAGGCGGGAGTGGGGTGCCAAGCTGCCGGCACGCCCACCCCGGGCACGCGGCCCTCCGCCGGGGTCCTCGCTTGCCCCAGGGCACGAGGCCCGCGACTGGCCGGCCTCCCCGCGGCCAGCTTCCCACGAGGCCGCAAACACCAGGAGGTCAAGGCCCCGGCGGCCGGCCCAGGCCCGAAACCCCCTCGCAGGCCCGCCTTCTCCATTCTGGGCTCCTTACGATCTTGTTCTGGTCTGTGACGAACTCGTCTATGTTTTCCAGATAAAGCTGGTCTGCCATGGTGTTGCAGCGTTGAACCGCACCGACCCCTCAGACGGCCAGAACCACAGCTCCCGCCGGCGGGAAACCGACTTCGCTCCTTCCCGGGTCTCGGGTCGTTTCCTATGGTAACGGGGCCGACGCGCTACGGCGGCCGTAGGGGGACCAAACTTGTCCTGAGCGCGGAGCGTGCAGGCTGAGGTGGGCGGAGCTACGAAATCGCGAACAAGGGCATGAGGTGGGCGTGGTTATGCTCTTAGTCTTCTAAGTGCGGGCCAGGCTTCCGTGACATCTCTGGCACTTAGAGAGTGACTCCGGACCAAATACTTCACCTCTAGGAGAAGCAGCCTTTCCACTAGTAAACTGGACAAAGTCTTGCCTGCTCGGGGTTTATGTTCAGTGGTGGCGCTCTTGCACGAAACCCAGTTGGATCGCTCCTAACGCCATTTGGTCCCTCCTTGCTATTTGCTGTGTTTAACCAAAATAGGTTCAGTCCCTGTTCTGTCCCAGTTCCTTCCTAAGCACTGGGGCAAGGCACTGAACAATAAAGACACGTATTTTTAGTAGAATGGTGCAGCCTGGGATAAATCCCTGCCTGTGTCGCTCTTTCATGAATGAGATATTGGAGAAGGTTTTCCAGGAGGGAAGGTTTTCCAGGAGGAAGGTTTTCCAGAGCTGGAGCATTTACTGGGAAGGAAAATTTCATCAGCAGAATAGAGGCCCGCGTAGGGAGCTGAGAATTGGGGAGAAGCCCCAAGGCTGTGAGAAGAGTCACTGAACTTTGGTCTCAGGAAAACCTGAAAGGTTTTCAGATTGGAGAATTTCAACTTAAATTTCTCCTAGTAAAGAAAGATAAGAAGTGGGGGAACAGGGAGAGAAAGAGAGGGAGAAATAAAGGAGAGAAGTGGAGGGAAAGGAAGGAAGAACAAAAAGAAGGAAAACAAAATTTAATAAAGGCCTTCAGCAGAAGCCAGTGTAGTTCCACACTGCAGCATAGTGGATAAGCAAGCAGGCTCTGAGTCCACTGCCTAGATTTGAATCCTGGCTTTGCTACTTCTTGTGCGGTTAGGTAAATTATTTAACTAACAGGATTTTATTTCCTCATCTATAAGATGGGAACAATAATAGTGCCCACTTTGAAGATGTGTTGTATTATAAATTCAAGACAGCAAATGCCTACAAAATGTCAGGTACAATCTGGGTGGAATGCTGAGAATGCAGTTACAACTAGTAACAGTCATATAGCTTACATTTCCATGGATTTTTAAGTGAAAGATTATGGTGGCTTAAAATAAGACAGTTGAAGTGGGACTTTAGAGATCTAAGTAACTTGAACTTTTTTTTTTACTGCTGATGGATTAGATGAGTAGAGTTTGAAAAAGATAGGAAGCAAAATAAAAGCCTAAATAAAAGTAAATTTCTGCTTACACTTGATACTTCTTTAAAAACAAACTCCAAGGAAAACTTTTAAGGACTAAGTTTGACTGGGGTGCCTCATGTTGACAACACAGCTGGTTTCCAGAAATCAGAACCAGCAATTGGCCTATCTGGTGACCAAAGGAGTCCATACAACATTGTTAGAAATATGGCTGCCAAGTGATACCAGCAATGGGATTATTGGATAAAAATTCAGCCTCCATATCTCAAAAAGAGAAAGCTAACCTGGCTCTTTCTTCCTATCATCTCCATATTACTCTCAAAAATAATTGACATTCAGACAGGGATCAGTGTTGGGGCAGGATGAGGAACAGAGTTCCTACTTTCAGGCAGAATCTTCAAACCCAGAGTAGGAAAGAAGGGCAGGCCTCCTGTTGAGGAGGGAGTCTTGGAGGAGTAACTTAAAGAGTCCCACCATCTTGCTGGACTTCAAGGATACCACAAGTGTCCCAGGGATAGGATTCCAGGTAGGCTAACAGAACAGAACCAAAAAACACAAGATTAATAATAATGACTCAGGCTGGGCACCAGTAGCTTATGCCTATAATCCTAGCTACTCAAGAAACTGAGATCTGAGAACATTCAAAGCCAGCCTAGGCAGGAAACTCAGACTCTTATCTCGAATTAAACACCAAAAAGCCAGAAGTAGAAGTGTGGCTCAAGTGGTTAAACATCAGAGTTGAGCAAAAAAGCTAAGAGACAGTACCCAGGCCCTGAGTTAAAGCCCCAGTACTGGCATACACATACAAAAAAAAGTTCTTAAGACCTGATCTGAACAAATATTTGGGTGTGGCAGTGCATGCCTGGTTTCCCAGCTATGACAGGTAGCATAAGTAGGAAGCTCGTGGTCCAAGCAAGTTTGATTTAAAAAAAAAGAAAAAGCAAGACTATCTCCAAAATAACTATCTCCAAAGCAAAAGCGCAAGGAATGGTCCAGTAGTAGAACGCCTGCCTAGAAAGCATGAGGCCCTGAGTTCAATTCTTATTACTGAAAACCAGAAAAGGAAGGAAGGAAAGAAAAAAGAAAGAAAAAAAGGAAAGAATGAAGGAAGGAAAGAAGAAAGGAAGGGAAGGAAGGAGGAGAAAGGAAAGGAGGGAGGAATGGAGGGAGGGAGGGAGGGAGAGTTCTGGTGATTGATTCGAGGAATAAAAAGTTGGGTGTGAGTGTGGTCAGAGACAGGATGGGTGGTGTAAGTGAAATAGAGAACCAATATCCAAACCTCATCTTGGCTTACTTTAGTCTTGGTAACAGTGGGGGTGGAGGGCTAATTTTCAAAAGTCATAGGGTGATTTAGAACAAGCTCCTGCGGGCTTCTCACAGCCCCTGGGGTCTTGTCTCTTCTGCTGTAAGAAGATTAATATATCCTGGCCTTAGAAGTTGTACATTCCATAAAATAGTCTATACAACTTTGTTTTATTTTCTTTTTTATTATTATCTTCAAATAGTTGTGGAAAAAGATTTTAGTTTAACATACCCATTTATGTGTATAATGTATCTTGATCAGTGTCATCCCATCCACCATTTTCCCCATTAAAAAACATTTTCAAGCCAGGGGCTGGTGGCTCACGCCTGTTAATAGTAGCTACTCAGGAGGCTGAGATCTTAGGATCATGGTTCAAAGCCAGCCCAGACAGGAAAGGCTGTGAGACTCTTATCTCCAATAAACCACTAGGAAGCTGGAAATGGTGCTATGGCTCATGCGGTAGAGCTCTAGCCTTGAGCTGAAGAGTACAGGGACAGCGCCCAAACCTAGAGTTCAAGCCCCACAACCGACAAAAACAAACAAAACATTTTCAAAAGAAGACTTGTTGGGGGTGCCAATGGCTCAGATCTATAATTCTAGCTACTCAGGAGGCTGAGATCTGAGGATCATGGTTCTAAACCAGCCCAGGCAGAAAAGTCCATTCAGCATCAAAAAGGTCAGAAGTTGAGTTGTGACTCACATGGTAAAGTGGTAGCCTTGAGCACAAAAGCTCAGGGACAGTGTGCAGGCCCTGAGTTTAAGCCCTAAAATTATCACAAAAAGAATAAAAAAAGGCTTATTAGTTTTGTATATAGTTAAAAACCTTAACAATGACAACCTTCTGAGTTTATTTCTCATGTGTTTTTTACATACAGTAAAAGGACATGTTGTCTAGCCTAGTTCCAAGTTTTCCCTTTACTTCTAATTTTCAGGCTGGGATAAGTCATCTTCTTTGGGAAATGACTTTACTGCTTCTTCAGTACCTTTGATTCTGTGTGTGTGTGTGTGTGTGTGTGTGTGAGAGAGAGAGAGAGAGAGAGAGAGAGAGAGAGAGAGAGAGAGAGAGAGAGAGAGCGCACGTGCACGCGCACCATTCCTGGGGGCTTGAAGTCAGGACCTGGGCACTGTCCCTAAACTTTCTTGCTTGCTTGCTTTTTTTTTTTTTTTTTTTTTTTTCTGAGCTCTTTTTACTCAGAGTTAGTGCACCATCACTTTGAGCCACAGCACCACTTCCAGTTTTCTGGTGGTTAGTTGGAGATAAGGGTCTCTTGGACTTTCTTGCTGGGGCTGGCTTCAAACCTTGTGCCTCAGATCTCAGCCTCTTAAGTAGCTAGGATTAGCTTTCCGGGCTTTCTTGTTCACGGCTAGCACTCTACCACTTAAGCCACAGCTCCACTTCTGTTTTTTTGTTTTGTTTTGTTTTTGGTGTTTAATTGAATCTCTCTTAACTTTCGTACTTGAGCTGGTTTTGAACCATGATCCTCAGATCTTAGCCTCCTGTTAGTAGCTAGGATTAGAGGCATGAGCTACTAGCAGTTGGCTCTAGATTTTGTTTTTGAGAACAGGATCTTGCTCCTTTGCCAGGATGGCCCCAAATCTGTGATTCTCCCACCTCCACCTTCTGAACAGCTGGGATGGCAGGTGTACGCCATCGCTCCTCCCCCGCCTATAATTTAAATTTAAACACAATTATAGGTGTGTTTGTCACAACTCAACTGTATCACTGTCTCCAGCTTTTGTCCCATCATTAACTGCATGTTTGAGGATGTGGCTCAAGGATGGACCCTTACCTACCAAGCACAAGGTCCTGGGTTTGATCCCAAACACTGCAAAACAAAACAACAACAGAAGAAAAAAAAACAAGAAAACAGTTCTGTTTTGTAAATACTAAATGGCTAAACTTTTGCTCAATCTCTCTCTCTCTCTCTCTCTCTCTCTCTCTCTCTCTCTCTCTCTCTCTCTCTCTCTCTCTCTCCAAAACTGAGACTCATACTCAGTATCTAAGGCTTGCTTTTGCTCATGGCTGGTACTCTATGATCTGAGACATATCTCTTAACTCCTCAATTTTTTTTAAGTCTCAGATAATAAAAATGTTTTTTAGGAGATGGGACTACCAAAGGACAAATTATTTTCAGACAATCTTATTCATTCATTCTTTAGTTGTTTTTTTTTTTTAGTTCTTTCGGTGAACTTGAGTACTTTCTGTGACTATATATTCCAATAGAAGATTTATTTAGTGCTGATTGGAGGCAAATAAGTGAACAGACAGATGGCTTAAAGACCACATTATAAGAGAGGAAATGAGCAGAAGGCACCAAATTGGAGATGTCCAATAAGCCATGTCCCCTGTGGAACGTGTCTATGCTTAGATTCTAGCTGAGACTGGGGAAGTATACAATTTATAGATTGTAACCGGCTATCACTCACCCAGAGTCA